ACATACATTACATACATTACATACATACATACATACATACATACATACATACATACATACATACATACATACATACATACATACATACATACATACATACATACATTACATACATACATACATACATACATACATACATACATACATACATACATACATTACATACATACATACATACATACATACATACATACATTACATTACATTACATTACATACATACATACATACATACATACATACATACATACATACATACATACATACATACATACATACATACATACATACATACATACATACATACATACATACATACATACATACATACATACATACATACATACATACATACATACATACATACATACATACATACATGCATTACATACATACATACATTACATACATACATACATACATACATTACATTACATTACATTACATTACATTACATTACATTACATTACATACATACATACATACATACATACATACATACATACATACATACATTACATACATACATACATACATACATTACATACATTACATACATACATACATACGTACATACATACATACATACATACATACATACATACATACATACATACATACATACATACATACATACATACATTACATACATACATACATACATACATACATACATACATACATACATACATACATACATACATTACATACATACATACATACATACATACATACATACATACATACATTACATTACATTACATTACATTACATTACATTACATTACATTTACATACATACATACATACATACATACATACATACATACATACATTACATACTACATACATACATACATACATACATTACATTACATTACATTACATTACATACATTACATTACATACATACATACATACATTACATACATACATTACATACATACATTACATTACATATACATACATACATACCTACATTACATTACATTACATTACATTACATTACATTACAATTACATACATACATTACATTACATTACATTACATTACATTACATTACATTACATAACATACATTACATTACATTACATTACATTACATTACATTACATTACATTACATTACATTACATTACATTACATTACATACATTACATTACATTACATTACATTACATTACATTACATTACATTACATTACATTACATTACATTACATTACATTACATTACATTACATTAAATTACATACATACATACATACATACATACATACATACATACATACATACATACATACATACAATACATACATACATACATACATACAATACATACATACATACATACATACATTACATTACATTACATTACATTACATTACATTACATTACATTACATTACATTACATTACATTACATTACATTACATTACATTACATTACATTACCTTACATTACATTACATTACATTACATTACATTACATTACATTACATTACATTACATTACATTACATACATACTTTACATTACATTACATTACATTACATTACATTACATTACATTACATTGCATTACATTACATTACATACATTACATACATTACATTACATTACATTACATTACATTACATTACATTACATTACATTACATTACATACATACATACATTACATTACATACATTACATACATATACATACATACATACATACATACATACATACATACATACATACATACATACATTACATACATTACATACATACATTACATTACATTACATTACATTACATTACATTACATTACATTACATTACATTACATTACATTGCATACATTACATTACATTACATTACATTACATTACATTACATACATTACATTACATTACATTACATTACATACATACATACATACATACATACATTACATACATACATACATACATACATACATACATACATACATACATACATACATAAATACATACATACATACATACATACATACATACATACATACATACATACATTACATACATACATACATACATACATACATACATACATACATACATACATACATACATTACATACATACATACATACATACATACATACATACATACATACATACATACATACATACATACATACATACATACATACATACATACATACATACATACATACATACATACATTACATACATACATACATACATACATACATACATACATACATACATACATACATACATACATACATACATACACATACATACATACATACATACATACATACATACATACATACATACATACATACATACATACATACATACATACATACATACATACATACATACATACATACATACATACATACACATTACATACATACATACATACATACATACATACATACATACATACATACATACATTACATACATACATACATACATACATACATACATACATACATACATACATACATACATACATACATACATACATACATACATACATTACATACATACATACATACATACATACATACATACATACATACATTACATACATACATACATACATTACATTACATTACATTACATACATACATACATTACATACATACATACATACATACATACATTACATTACATTACATTACATTACATTACATTACATTACATTACATACATTACATACATACATACATACATACATTACATTACATTACATTACATTACATTACATTACATTACATTACATTACATTACATTACATACATTACATACATACATACATACATACATCATACATACATTAGATACATACATACATACACATACATACATACATACATACATACATTACATACATACATACATACATTACATTACATTACATACATACATACATTACATTACATACATACATACATACATACATACATTACATTACAGTACATACATACATACATACATGCATACATACATACATACATACATACATACATACACATACATACATACATACATACATACATACATACATACATACATACGTTACGTTACGTTACGTTACGTTACATTACATTACATACATACATTACATTACATTACATTACATACATACATATATACATACACATACATACATACATACATACATACATACATAGATACATACATACATACATACATTACATACATACATACATACATACATACATACATACATTACATTACATTACATACATACATTACATACATACATACATACATACATACATACATACATTACATACATACATACATACATACATACATACATACATACATACATACATACATTACATTACATTACATTACATTACATACATTACATACATACATACATACATACATACATACATACATTACATACATACATACATACATACATTACATACATACATACATACATACATACATACATACATACATACATACATACATACATACATACATACATACATACATACATACATACATACATACATACATACATACATACATACATACATACATACATTACATACATACATACATACATACATACATACATACATACATACATACATACATACATACATACATACATACATACATACATACATACATACATTACATACATACATACATACATACATACATACATACATACATACATACATACATACATACATACATACATACATACATACATACATACATACATACATACATACATACATACATACATACATACATACATACATACATACATACATTACATACATACATACATACATACATACATACATACATACATACATACATACATACATACATACATACATACATACATACATACATACATACATACATACATACATACATACATACATACATACATACATACATACATACATACATACATACATACATACATACATACATACATACATACATACATACATACATACATACATACATACATACATACATACATACATACATACATACATACATACATACATACATACATACATACATACATACATACATACATACATACATACATACATACATACATTACATACATACACATACATACATACATACATACATACATACATACATACATACATACATACATACATACATACATACATACATACATACATACATACATACATACATACATACATACATACATACATACATACATACATACATACATACATACATACATACATACATACATACATACATACATACATACATACATACATACATACATACATACATACATACATACATACATACATACATACATACATACATACATACATACATACATACATACATACATACATACATACATACATACATACATACATACATACATACATACATACATACATACATACATACATACATACATACATACATACATACATACATACATACATACATACATACATACATACATACATACATACATACATACATACATACATACATACATACATACATACATACATACATACATACATACATACATACATACATACATACATACATACATATACGAGAGGGGGAGATTGGGGAGAGAGAGGCTTGGGGGGATGGGGAGGATGGGGAGCAGAGGGAGGTAGAGAGGACGACAGAACACACAAGGGAGACCAGGGAGAGAGGAAGAAGGAGAAAAGGGAGAGGACAATGTCGGCGGACTGAGCCGGAGGCTCTAAAGTTACCTATATAAACCAAGGGCTCGCAACCCTTCTCGCCACGGTTCCCACGCGAAGGCGGATCCTGGTTCAGCTGATCTGCCTGCAGCGCGAGGATGCTGGAGCTGTGAAAGCCCAGGGCGGCAGCGTTCCTCGCCTGAGCCATGGGGAGGGGGCAAAACCGGGTGGGAGCCTCCCAACAACCAAAACGCCCAACACTGAGTCATTGACTTTTTGGCCTTACAAAATTAGGCAAAAACCTAAACAAATGACCAACTGTGGCTTGGAAGCTGCTCAAATGGGCGTGTCTCCCCGAGAAATGGGTGGGGGTGTTTGTGGTTCCTTTCTGGACAACCCGTTTTCAAGGAGGTGCGTTTAGGAAAAACAATCCCCAGAAGAGTCCAAGCAGGCATGTAGGTTGTTTGACTGTTTGACTACATTTGCTTCATCAAACTGATGCGCGGTATTATTGTGGCTCAATTCAATTGCCCCAAAAAGGCCAAGCAGCGAAGAGCGTGCCATTGTCTTTCCTGGGTGGCACACGACACTTGAAACTCTGCTCCTTGCGATTGTCTAGAGTTTGGGTCAGATCGGTTTAGACATTCAAAGTCGCGCTACAAATGGGCGCTTAGGCAAAGACTACTTACACGAACGCCTGGATAGAATGGACCAAACGGGCTTGCATATGACTAGCCCTCAGTAAACTTACAGTGTATTACACCGAGGGGTTACTTAATTTGCCCAAAGGGAAACCCCAGGGTTTATGTCTAGCTCGGGGTGTCAACAAATCGCACTCTGAGGCCAAACCTTCCCACCAAGGCGCAAGAGCATGACATTCGGCCACAAAGCTGCACAGAGTAGAGTTCGCATCAGCTGGAAGCGCCGTCTGTTGAACTCCTTCGCATGAATGCGATTGCAAGATCGACTGCCGTTTCAGTGACAGAATGGATCTGTCTTGAAACAAAGGACCCTCCAAGTGTTGCTTGTCGTGTGCTTTTCAAACATCCCCTCAAAAAAGGGTACCCTCAGACAAGACATGACTGAATCGTGACGCCCGTCGTGTGCATCTCCTCTTTGGCGTTCACCACGCTGGATAGGCATGCCGGCATTAGGCTGATCGCCTGCCTGAGGTTCGTAGGAAAACAGGCAGCCTTCTCTGATTTTCGCATGTGTCGGAATAGGGGACCCCCGAAAAAATGGCGGTTTTCGTTGTGGCTCTTGTTAACACCCTGGCAAACAGGCTACTCCCAGAAACACGCACGTGCACACACACACAAACAAAACAAACAAACAAACAAACAAACAAACAAACAAACAAACAAACAACCAAATCAAACAAACAAACAAACAAACAAACAAACAAACAAACAAACAAGCCAAACCAAACCAAACCAAACCAAACCAAACCAAACCACAACAAACAAAAACACACACACACACAAAGATGCACACACACACACACACACAAAGATGCACACGCACACACACAAAGATGCACATTTGGTGGCTTGATTTGACCAATCCAAACAACGGGTTACCTGGGGCCCTGACCTTCCTGCTGCTTCGGTCTGCTCACGGCTGGCAAATCCTGGCAATGACACAGCTGGAGCCTTGGATGATGAAGGGGCCCAGCCTTGATCCACGACAATCCCAAGAAGGTGGCGTCGCATTTCAGACACCTTGCCAGCACAACACTCCGCCGGCAGTTTCTGCCCGTGAAAGAGGCGCGCATGGCAGAATGCTTCATGCACCATGCTCAGTTTTGACTGCTTTTTGACATGTAGCACTGCTGCACTGCTGTAAGCAAAGGACCGTCTCAAAGGCCTGAATGTCCAAGCCTGGCTTGGAAACGGCCCCTCACATACTGACCATTGCCGGCCACGGCTCGGTTCGGACTGAGGCGCGCTCTGTTCTCGCGGCACCATGTCCGAGCAGCCTGAGAATGCTTCCCCAGCTGCTCCCAGTGCTCGAAGAGCTTCCTAGGCAAACTCCCAGAAAGCCATGGATGGACAAAGTCCACTTTGCACCAGTTGGTCAGTGGTTTATCAACCAGTATTCATAGGGTTTCATTCACCCCAACTGGTGACCAGTGGGTGCGAAATGGATTCTGTCCATGCAGAGTATCACCCAAGGTCAAACAACTTCGGATCCGGATGACAGCACCAAAGCAATCTCCTTCAAATGGATATTGTTCCACAAATTTGGGGATCACCGTTGATGAATCCGGAGGGAGTTCTGAATCCGAAGTAGACATGCCCCCCAAAAAGGCTGGTTTCTCTGTTGTTTCCCTTTAACAACCAACCAAAAAGGGTCCCCAAAAATGACATACACACACACGAATGAACATCTGCCTCTTTCCAGGATTTGCAGCCAGTTGACACCAGTAGCAACTGATCACTCTCGAGGTCGCCAGCGAAGTCCAACTGCCATGCACGAGGGGCGCTGGTTGTGGCTCAGCAACTTTGGTGCCTTGCGCTGTTCACTGACTCCCTTGCCGTTTCCCTTGCCATCTGCATTGACCTCGAAGCGGAGTCAAATTCGCAACCAATCGAAGCTGCAGCATGCATGCTATGTTGAGCTCCGCACTGCAAAGGGAGACTTCACAGACAAAGACGCGGCGAGTGTACAAACATCGCGCGGGATGCCAAAAATACATCCCAGCACCTCGCCAGCATTTCTGAATTTCGATAGATCAGCTGGCACAGGCGTTTGCCACAAACGGCTAGACAAACATTGATCTTGCCACAAACGTGACCAGCCGGGGATAGCGTGATTCCGCTGATGAAATGACCAGGCCTTTTGACTGCCGACACGTCCAATCAGGGTTCCATTTTTTGGCCGCCCCAAAATCAGGGCTGGTTGATGTCCCCTGAAGTCAAGTTGGGGAAGCCAACAAATGGAACTAAATAAACATTTTAAATGCATCCAAGCTCTCTGGCAGTCTGGGGGTGGAACCAGGAGTTTGGCAGAGCCAGCATCCACCGGCAGCTGAGCCAAGTGGTTACCCAGCGGGGTCAAGCGCCTAAAGCCACGGCCGAAGACTGGAGAGAGAACCAGAGTCAAATACATCCAGACCAGGAACTTTTACACATCCCTTTGTTCGTCCCAGGGCCGATAATACTGGAAACGTGATTTGGACAAGATTCAGGAGATGGGAACATCTCCAACTGCGGATATAACAGATTCCAGATGTGACATATCTCTTTGAAACAGGGATGGCACGACAAGGTCATGTGCCCAGTACAGTTGGGAAGCCGCACTTGTTTCACCGATCAACTGCAAAAAAAGCAATCTAACCCACAGGCACACGCGTCAAGAGAAACGTCTTGCAGAAGAGGATCAGCTTTGCTTTCAGCAATCGCTGCTGGTCATCCTCCCAGACATCTGCCACACATGTGGGTTGTCAGTGCACGATGGTACACACTGCGCAAGGTGTCCTTGTCCCAGCCATTGGCTCCGATCTCTTCAGCTGCTCCAGCAACTCTCCTCGTGCTAAGCACGCAACTCTTCGGCCATCCAAATCTAGAAGCCCGAATTCAGATCCCGCTTTCTTCACCCACAAATCTGCAAACCCACAACACCCACCCAACAACATGCAACAACAACCTACACACTACGTGCCAGACCCCCCCCCCCCCCTGCCCCGCCATCCCCTGCATCTTGAAACCTCGCCAGTTGTCCACTTCTCTTACCCGCTGAGGGTTCTCAGTTCTCACATCGCACCTAGGCCCGGCACTCCCGAAGCTCCACGGCGCTGAGCTCCACCTGAGAAGCGACTTACTCGGTATGCGCAGGGAGACCGGGGTCCCAAGAAATGGTGTTCATGGTGTTCCTTTTGTTTGCCTTGGAGTCCAGTAAAAGGGTTTCCTCCAAAACACAATGAGACTTACGGACAAGGGGAGCCATCCACGCAGTTGCATTGGAGTTAGCAGTCATACCTCCGAGCTCGCAGGCGTTGCAGGGGAGCGTTTCGTGCTTGTTTTGCTTTCCTGTTTTTTGCGGGTGCCCTTTTAGTTTGGCTTTTTTCGGTTGCCATGTTCGACTCGTGTCCTTTGGTTCCCTCTTTCTTGGGCTTCAAAGTGGCTCAAGTGGCTCCCGTGGTAATTACATGGCAACAATGGCTGCTGGCCCCCAATCGTCCAACTTGTTTTGACACATTGACATCCCACTGGCACCATCAACCCTCGGGGAACATGGGACTTAGCCAACAAAGGCATCCAATGCAGCTCTGACTTGAGCAGGTTGAGGGACCCACCGCAAGACAGCTGTATTGACGAGGTGTCACGATTCACCGGGGGATTCCTTCGTGCATGGCACATTGCTGATACTGTGTGATCTTCATTGCATGGGATGCGTGAGTTCTCCCCAGCTCATCCCATTCCAGTTTTCTGAGTCTAAAAGCTGGCAACCAACACTGAGGAGGGGCTGTGGCATTTGTGCTTGAGTCAAGCTGAAGAGACAATTTCTGCACTTGGAACCAGAGCGTGAACCGTTCTGCTAGTAGTAGCCAAGAGGTCCACAGCGGAAGTCTGCAGGTCTGTGATGCTGTCGGACGAGCAAACTAGAAAATGTTAGTGACACAAGGCTTGGTTGCTGCTCTACACAGTTTGTCATTGTTACCGTCCTGCTGACCACTGAGGGGCGTGATTTGAGCACTCTGCATCACTATTACGATCACCGGTCTTCAATTTGGCCAACGTGTCGCAGCCACTCTAAAACAGAACTTGCCAAAACCGGAAGATCGACAACATGACGGGAAAGTATAAAGGAATACTCTCAAAACACAACGTGCTTCTTTGTGGCATTCTGCATGTACGCGGATGATGCGCATCGTAATGCATTTCATGGGAGACACTAACAAATCGAAAGTTAAAGAGGATCCCCTCTGGTGTCCTGCCGGCATGCTCCATGGAACATATATGCATGGCTGTAGGATGCTGCAGGTGGGTGGGCCATACAAGTGGGTCCCTCATTCTAAAGCTTCTGATGTGAGGCATATTCAAAATCAACAATCTGGTATCAAAGGCGTTGGCCCAAAAGCATGCAAAGAATCAAAAGGGCGGGCGCACCTATTTCTGGCTGGGACTCTCCCCTACCAATCAACATCTACTCAGGTTTTGATTGCGGCTCTGAATTTGACACTGAAAATGTCAAGCATTGGCTAGGGACAGCACCAGCTGCTGCAGCGAGGAGAGCACTGCCGCATCCTTGCACGAGCTGGTGAGTCAACTTCAGGGCACAGCGTGGCCCATTTGGGTTCTCAAAGTTAGTGACCCCATCCAGGTGGTTGGTTTCCTGTTGGCGTCCTTCAAAACCATTCAAAACGGGTCTCCGATTTTCAGCAGGCCCGTGTCCTTTTTCTGTCACGCGCATGCACACTGAGGTTGTCTGGCACTTTTGTCCACTCAAGATTGTACGGAAAGATTGCCAATAGCATGGCTGCTAGTTACGAGGAGCCGAATTGAAAGCACTCACAACTCAATTCGCTCGTGGCATGGCCTGCCACCGCACCGTACCTTCAAGGGAACTCTCCAAGATTCTTTGACGTTTGACTCGGAGAACCAGACTTGTGCTGGCACATAAATCATGGTCAAACCAATCCTGCGATGCGGGCTGGTGTTTCGCCCAGACCGATGTGCAGCTCGGCTATCAAAAATGCCATACTCCCCTGACTGCAATTCCACAGTCACCGGGTCTTCCATTGGCAGGTCCTCTGGGCGAATGCTTTGAGCATCATGTAGCGCTGAGCACTCATCATACCCTTTCACGTGCTCCAGTTTCGCTTTGTGCGTGCCAGGGATGAACTGCATGGCCCCATTCTCCGCTGTGACGTTGTCAATTGCAACCCAAACACTCACCACTGGCTGCGATTCTGGGTTGATGCCCCAGTAAGTGCGGTCTTGATGTGTGCCGATGATTGTCAAGCATTTTGTTTTATCTTCATGAGGATCAACAGAAAGAGGGTACTTTGCGAAGAAAGTGGTGTGGAGAAGAACAACATCCTCACCGACAACCTCTTGAACTGCGTCCAAGACCGTTGGGTCTGTAGCGGCTTGCATGACAATATCTGATCGAAAATGAGAGTTGTAGGTAGTCTTCTGCTGCTCAAGGGGCAAGCCCTGCTTCTCCCAGTCATTCACTTGATCTAACAGCCGATCGGTGACATGGGGATCGAACTTCCCAAGGGGAAATGCAAAGCCCTTCTGCTGCAAATCTGTTCGCCAGAAAGTGTCGCTGCCGGCAACCAATGACAAGAGCATGAGCACTGAGGCCTTCGACAAAGTCATCTCTAAAAAACCTACTGGAGGGTATTGAGGCTAAGAGAAGGCTAAGAGAAGGCTAAGAGAAGGCTAAGAGAAGGCTAAGAGAAGGCCAACAGAACCAGCTTGAGCGCCGAATGTTGTACGCAAATGAGCCACGGTCAATATTCACAGTGCCCCCGACCGCCATGGGATGCAACCCCATTTCTGGCGTGTGCTCCATGTCATCCCTTGTACTACCATAGATGAAAGCAACATTTAAGACCATCGCTTAGATCATCCTACAAGCAACCTTGTCAATAGCAAGCTATGCAAAGAACGGCCACACGGTTGGCCTATTCAAGACTCTAAGTCCCTGGCAGTTGGAGGCGTGATAGCCTCAGCACCCCGATTGGCCACACGTGCAAGTTGCACGGCTTTGAAGTGCGCGCGGTGTGAATTTGTGTGTGTGTGTATGCGCGTGATGAAGTGTGCAAGCAAAGCTTGCACTGGGCACTTTTCCTGACGCGATCCCCGCAGCTTTGGCGGCAGAAGAGGTTTGGAGCATCTGCATGGAGCTGTTCTTTCTTTGCCAAGGGGAACACGGCTTCACCTTCCTCCCCATCGCTGCTTGTACGTCCTTCGCAAGCTGAAGCGCCCTTGCCGACAGGCACGCCCCGTGGACTCCGTGCAAGCACGAGAACACGGTTTTTTGTGCGAGGTCTGATGCTTGTGCTCTCGACCATCGGAAGATGGAAGGGGGCAGTCAATCCTGAATTGGCGCCCCTCCATCATCTCTGTCCATAGCGAGTCGGGCTTGTCGACGACTTTGGCATGGCTTTCCCTCGTCGGGATGGACTGGCTCGCCGAGATGTTGCCAAGTCTGGGTAGCCGGCTGAATGACCCGCCTTTGCAGTGAGATGCAAACTCGCGTAGGACTTTGCCTGCTGCCGAGCAGAGCTTTCCGGCCTGTCCGTTTCGACTTCTTCCAACGCCAGCGCCAGGTTGTCAGCATCCGAGAGCTCGTTGCCACCCTCTGGCGAACCTATGGGATGCTAAAGCGTCGAACATGAGCTTGGGTCTTAAGCCTCCCAATGCTGCTTATCAACCAAGAGTTGATGTTGGGCACACAAGTTGTTGTTTAGTCAGACTGACGAGGCCATCAGGAACCCTCCAGACTGGTTTCAACACTGCACTATGATCAAGCCAAGCAACCAATACCAGCTGCCTTCTTGTCCTGCGGGTTCCAGCGATGTGGGGCAGAATGTAACAAAATAAAACCTTCCAAATGTGCTTGTGCACATTTCAGATGTTGTGTTTTATTCTTTGGTTTATGAATCCCAGAAACCGATTGGGGTCGAACAACAGGGTCACCCCCTGCCCATTCATTGAATGGCTTCCACACATTGCCAGCACAACGTCAGTGCTTGGAGCCGAGCCACTTGTAAACTGGATTGGAGGGAGGTTCAAGGCTTCCGAAGTTCGCTTAAGAGTTGGCAAAAGACCCTCGGTTTTGGAGTAGTAAGACCTCAAGGTTACAACTCTGGAACTTTTCAGAGATGTCCAGCTTCAATGCCAAGATATAGGTATTTAATTTTACTTGGGACCTCTATGGTGGACATCGCACAAACCAGGTTAGTGAGCTGCCTCTTCAGGCATCACGGCCTTGGATGGGGCATTCAGCCAAAACATACCAAAACTGCAAGCCTGAGCAACGACAACAAGCGGAATGAGTTGAACCTTGTTCTTCATGCACCGTCTACTGGTGGACGTTTTGCATGGAGATGCTTCATGAAGGTAAAGCTTCCGGGTGCCAATGCAATGCTGCACAAACTGGAACATGAAAGAGAAACAGGTAGCGAAAACTGACAACAAGCAAACACCAGTGTTGGGAGCGATCAAGGACACCCCAAACGCTGTGCCCGTAATCGATCCAAAGTAGCCGGGACACATGACATCTTCCGCTTGCCGCCCAAGGACGTCCTGAAGGCGCTTCATAGCCAGCTGCATGCGGGTCTTCGCCGCTGGCTTTCCCATTTGCCCAATGACTTTTGAGCACAGCTTCATTTGGCGGTCAAACTCATGCTGAGCGCGTCGAGCCGCAAGCTTTGCATGGAAGAGCTGCCTTCCCTTCCAGCCTCGATACGTGGCTTGGATCTGTGTGGCATTGCGCTGCCAGCAAAGATTCGCCATTTCCCATCGCGCGAGTTTGCTCTTGAAGAAGGTTTGAAGAAGGTGCACGGCCTGCTGCCCATCCAACTCCCTCTTGGACTGGAGCCGCTGCTGGACCAATGCTGCAAATCGCTGGCACCCCACAAACTTTGACCGGGCGATCTGATCTTTGGGTCGATGAGGCGAGATGCATGAGGAGCTTGAGGGCCGCACTTCGCACGCCTCGGCCTGTCGCTTGGCCTCGGCATGGCAAAGTTGGAATGTCCGAAGTCGGGGAGCTCGCTGAGATTTTGCGAGGCTCGACAGCTGACTTTGCTTTTCTTTGCCTTGTAACTTCAGCAACCGGCTTGGGCTTGACGCCTCTCTTGCATGACGTGCATCCTTTGGCGCCTTTGAAGCTTTTCCATATCTGTCCGACTTGCCTTCTAGCCTTTGAACAGCTGTTTTCTTTTGCTTGTTCTCCTTTCTTCGCTCAGCGACAATCTGTTGCCGGCACTGTCGCCCTCGTTGTATGGCTTGAATCTTCTGCGCTGCCTGCTCCTTTTGCTGGTTCAAGGCGCGCTCTGCGCCAATTTGCCGGCGGCAAAATACTCCGCGCTGCATTGCTTGGATCTTCATGATAGCTTGCTGCCTTTGCTTTTCCTCCTCACGCTTTGCTCCCGCTTGCTGGCGGCCCTGTCGTCCTCTCTGTATAGCCTGAATCTTCTGCGCTGCCTGCTCCTTCTGCTTCTGCATTTCGCGCTCGGCGCCAAGTTGCTGGCGGCAAGCAACTCCGCGCTGCATTGCTTGGATCTTCATGATTGCTTGCTCCCTTTGCTTTTCCTCCTCACGCTTTGCTTCTGCTTGCTGGCGACACTGTCGACCTCTTTGTATGGCCTGAATCTTTTGCGCTGCCTGCTCCTTCTGCTTCTGCATTTCGCGCTCGGCGCCAATTTGCTGGCGGCAAGCTACTCCACGCTGCATTGCTTGGATCTTCATGATAGCTTGCTCCCTTTGCTTTTCCTCCTCACGCTTTGCTTCTGCTTGCTGGCGACACTGTCGACCTCTTTGTATGGCCTGAATCTTCTGCGCTGCCTGCTCCTTCTGCTTCTGCATTTCGCGCTCGGCGCCAATTTGCTGGCGGCAAGCTACTCCACGCTGCATTGCTTGGATCTTCATGATAGCTTGCTCCCTTTGCTTTTCCTCCTCACGCTTTGCTTCTGCTTGCTGGCGACACTGTCGACCTCTTTGTATGGCCTGAATCTTCTGCGCTGCCTGCTCCTTCTGTTGCTGCAATTCAAGCTCTCTCTGCTGCTCTAGCTTTGCTTCGGCTGATTCAATCTGAATGTTGTTTTCCACCGGCTGGCTTTGGTCTTCTGGTTGCAGCGACACGCCCTCTTGGGGCAACACTGTCTGCTTTTCGCCCCCAAGGAAATCAATGAATCCAGACCCCTTTGAGTCTGCACTTTTCTCATTTTGAGGTGCAGGAATTTCAGCCTTGGGCTTCTTCCCCTTGGAAGGTATCTTGAAGTTCATCACGCCTTTAGCCTCTCAACCAGCCGTTCCAAGCTTTCGGCCTTCGAGCCATGTCATGGCCGCAACAATCCTTGGGCTCGAAATGTTAACACGCAATGCTGCTGGCTGGATTTCTTTCCGGTTTGAGAGCTTCTCTCGGGCACGAGACACCAAGCCTGGAATCCTGGAGCCATCACGCGATTTGGCCGGTCCAATGGCTTCAAAACTCCTGGCTTGCATAGTATGCTCCGCGCAACGCCTCAATATCATGTATTTAGAAATAGTATTTAGGTTGCTTCTTTGTGCTTGTTTTAGAACCGAGGCGCAAACTTGCGCATTGCCGTGCGTTGAGGCCGCAACCTTCGCGAGGATCTTGGCCGGGTGGCCCATTCCCATCAGCGAGACTCTCAAGCAGAGCGAGTCCAACGGCACCCTGCGGTCGGTCGGTGAAAAGATCCCACTCAGCTTCCACTCGATCCAAGAAACACGATCTCCAAAATGGATAGTGGCTGTCTTTGTCTCCCGAATACAAACAGCTTGGAAAGGAGTACCCACTCCAAAAGCGTGCAGCACACCCTGGGTGTTCTTGGAAGCTCGCTTGGGTTGGTGCAAAGGAAAGCCCAGCCATGCTGGGGGTTCCCGCTACTTTGATACACACCCAAATACATGTTTGGAAACGCATCATACCTCTGCCCATAAATTGAGCTGCAGGTGGCATGTTGTAATAAGCAAACAGGAACAATCAACAAAGCTTGTCGGCTCCCGTCGCGCTGGGAGTCGTCAAAGACCGCTAGCTGCACACACGCACGCACCCACCCACCCACCCACCCACCCACCCACCCACCCACGCACCCACGCACGCACGCACGCACGCACGCACGCAGGCACGCACGCACGCACGCACGCACCCACACACGCACCCACACACACACACCACACACACACACACACGCACAAACAACTCTTTGCGTTTAAGATCTTACATGGCTGTCTGGCCCCACAGTACATCCTTGTGCGCAACAGCACGTTGGACACACATCTTTCTTGTAAATTGGTCGAGCCAAATCTACATGCGAAATTGGAAGGCCAATACTGCACATCACTGCAAACTGCAATCCTTGTTGGAGTGTCGTGCGATCCATGCGACAAATACCCCTTCCTTATCACGCACATGAAGGGTATGCCAGTGCGAAGGATCAAGTACAGTTTGACTTCTCTCAGAAGTTTACTGCTTCCTTGTTGTGATGACTGCCCTAAACAGCCAGGGGCCCATACTCAAGGCAATTGTATTCCTGCTTGTGTCTACCTGGTTGAGCATCCAAGCACGACATGCATGCCAACTCCCAACAAGTAACATGTGTAAGCCATGGCACTGCCAAACAAAGCACACATGCGGCACTGCAATGACTTTATAGAATGGAACAAGGCATGCCACACAAGGCGTTTGCTGCAAGAGGAGAAACAGGAGAACGCTAGAACAAGACTTTAGCAAAGGTCAAACAATTGTGTACTGTACCATACTGTACACTTCGGAAATTGCTGTTACTACACCTTCAAAACAGACATGCCCGGGAACGAATGCAGTGTCCAAAGCTTCCTTTGCTGGAAGTGCTTGGCTCTATTGGCACATGTCATCATAAAACCGAAATATTTAGCATTAAATCGAGAGCATCCAACTTGGTGGCCGCCACGGAAGGAGGCAAAAGTCCCACTGCTCTCAAGCTCAAGAACGACGCCTCAGCATCTCAGGCTTTTCGAAGTCATCCATGCGGCGCCACTTGCGCACATTCCTGGCTAGGAATCATGTACCGCGCAATCGCGTGGAGGTATCCAGCGGAGGTTCGTACTCCCAAAAAGACACAGCTCATAGACATTGTGGGGATGTATGTCCATCAGTCGTTGTTCGTGTGCCCTGTGAAAAATCATGGCCGTTGCACAAGCCGGAGCCACACCAGGTGGTAACACACCCCAGGCTTGACTCGACCAGCTCGCCCACGGCGTTGCTTAGCATTCGCCTTGCCAAGGCGAGCACTGCTTGCAATGCCAAGTTATAGAATTGGCCCTTTTCTGGGACCAAATTGTCTCTGTTTTCGCACAGTCGGGGATAAGACGGCTTACAAGCTGCCACAAACCTTTGCTTTGTTTTATGCGGTCGCACTAATTATCGCAATATCGGATCTCAGACCAGACGTGAGAGTATGCCTGTCTCTATGGCTCTCTCACACGCACACCTTGGTCTCGACACAGTCGACAAGCATTGAGATGCGATTCTGCGGGTCATACTTCGTTTGCCTTGGATTCAAGCCATGTTTGGAGTTCACCGCCAGTTAAAACGCCACTGCGTCCCAAGATGCTTGTGTCGGCCGCAATCAATGACCTTGGGATGCCGCAGGCTAGCCAAACAAACAGCTGAAGATATGTGCGTTCGGTTCTCCACTAGGACAAGCGGCGTACTCAACATCATCGATGGTGATGGACGTCTCCGCGATGTTTGTTGTCACCACAACCTGAGATTAGGCTCCCACTTGCCTCGCAAATCAAATTTCTCGCCAAGCCCCCAGCCTTTCGAGCGCCGCTTGGCGGTCGCTTGAAGACCAAGCGCTGCTCATTGACACTGATCATGGAGTGCAGCGGCAGCACCCACAGCCCGTCCTTGATCTGGTGTCTCAAAGCACGCGCCCCCCCGCTTGGGATGAATCTCAAAAGGAAACCAGAAGCAAGCCACCCACCTGGAAGGATCCCCAATTGGGCAATATGCATGTGTGCCCTCCATTTCCCAATGGTATTTTTTCAGTGAGGGTGCCCAAAGTCATGCCCTTCACCACAGTAGGTGACATTAAATGTTGACCTGTGCTCGACATGTGGGTTTGTCGGGATCCCCTCAAAAGTGGGTGGCTTCACGCCCCATTTCCCTTTAAACAAGCCAAAAAGGGTACACTCCAAAATTAACATACCCAGATTATGGCCGCTGATCAAAAGTACCTTAGCTCCCCGTTGCCTCAAACCAAACAACTGTTGCCTCTAAGCCCCTTGTTTTGAGACGTAGCCTGACTTACCCCTTCAGCGGAAGGCGTCCTTGGTCACCTCTGGTCCACCCTTGCCGGAGCCTTTGCCTGTCCGTTGCGAACTTCACACAATGCTCACACTGACCCGGCCGCCTCGGTCGTCGAATCCTTTTCCTTTGTATCCTTTGACGTCCGCCGCGTCCTGGAGAAATCCAAATCTGGGCAGACCGCTTAGGCCTGCCTCGAGGTTAACTCACTGTTGTCCTGGTTGATGCACCGAATGGCCTTCTTGATCTCCTAAGTTTGCCGAAGGGCTCAGTATCTGGCCGTGCCCAAACCAGCTGTGAGGCTCAATCACAGCTGCTCAAGTTGCCATCTTATGCCAAACTGCCATGCGGGCAAGTCTCTCTCAGCCCGGGCACGAACACGAGAATGGCACCTGGCCTCAGCTCGCCCCATCTCAAGCGCGTTACCGTTGGGCGCTGGCCGCCTAGAACATGCTTGAACCGCCTTGAATCCTGCCATGACTCATTGGTCCTTGACAAATTCAAGACGTTGAAGCCCTACCGTGGCCCCTTTGGCTCCCAGGCCTTGCTCGGCTCACGCAATCATCTCCTCTATCCTGCATTCTTCATCCTTGAGTCGTTTGTGGCCTGCTTATGTTTAAGCAGTTTGCCGTCCTCTGCAGAACAGCCATGGCAAATTACGGTACCTCTGTTCCCCCCCCCCTTCTGCCATGAGAAACGGCAGGGTGACACATATCCATATCCAGTTTCGTGAAATTTGGGGAGTTCTCTTTGACAACTAATATCATGTCATTGCTGGGGCCTCCTGGCAAGCTCTACTTTGGCAATCTACATCTGTTTTTCTCTGTATTGCTTGATGATTGCAACGGAGAGCAACGCATTCAGCATATCTACCTTGTGGGACGAGCAACCAAATTCTTACCCCGGCCCTTAGAAGGCTAAGGCAAGGGCGATTTGCCATCCTTACATGGATCGACCTTGACTTCGGCTACATTGGCTCATACTGTTGCACATGCATGCACTTCTCTATGGGCCTGCGTGTGGATGTGGTTAACAACCTGCGCGACCAAGTCGAAATTGATTTTCTCTGGATCGACACGATGCAACCTCAGAAATCAGACGCTGTCAGTGCATCAGTCAGAGAGGGCGCACTATGCAGCTGCGGCTACTGCATGCGGGGCACTGCTGCAGCACGTGCTTGGAAAGCGTGCCCGAAAGCAGCTCTGCATTTTCAGGCTTCTCATAAATTTGCCTGCCAAGTCGGCAAACCTGCCACCAATCTTTGTCACCACTGGACGGTCCTGAGCTCTTGCTCCTCTTGGTAGGTGAGGATGGGATCAACGTCCTGACTCTCTGATTCCGTGTTTGAGTCACTGGTAAAAGCGCGTTTCCTTGCGGCAATACTCCGAATGTGGCTCGATCACCAGGCCAGTGTGCATCCTGGCCACAGAGCAGGCAACCGCTGCAAAAGAAATATGCCCGGTTGGTCAAGCTGATCTGCAAAAAGCGAATCCTGTTAAAAGTGAATCACCTTTCGCGAGTTGGGGAAATAGTCATTCTCCAGAAGGTTAAAAGTCAAAGTCTGAACCAAAGAGCAAGCATGGAAATTCAGCCTGTATTCAGCTCAGGCGCAATGCATGCTCCATAAAGTAGGCCGTCACCGGGAATGTACGACCTGGAATGCAAATGGATCTGCTGCCAGGGAAGTAGTCCTCGCGCAGGCAAGAAACTGATGACATATATGGGGGTGTCCTAAAATTGGGTACTGCTGTGAACGATTGGTTGTCTTTGGGCTACCATTCAAACCAGCCCGTAAAAACGCACAGTGGACTCTTGAGTCCTTGAATATCTGTGCATTGATCGTAGCGGACATGAGCACAATCCTGCAGGGAAGGAGATATGATAGGATTCGAAATGTCAATTCCTGACCTCAGGCGGGGTCGCTTTGGCAATAGATCCCGCAGGATGATCAGAAGAAAGTCCTTGCTTTCCAATGCGGAATTGTCAAAATTAGAAGCAGGCATCCCCGCACATCGGCATTCCTCTTTTGGCCAAGACTCTGTGTCCAGATCCCTTTCGTGACCTGCGGTGGTAGCCGAAACGTGAAAATATCTCAATGTGGCTGTCAAAATTGTACACCATTTTCTGCAAAACCTGGTTCTTCCCCTTGCCAAACAAATCGGACAAATTTGAGGTGAAATCCAGTCGGCCATCGGCTTTCTGCTGAACCTTCAGAACATCAAGGACAAAAACATGCTCAACCCCCATTCTCGTTGTTTTCCCCCTAAGTTGTGATGTTTCTGTGGCTTCCCTTTCAAAACACTCCACAAAGGGTACCCCGCAGGGTTGAGTCAACTTGTTTAGACATGAAGTGAGGGCTTTATTCACCGAGCTGCATTCATCCACGATGATGTGGGTCACGCCATGCAGCTGCGGATCGTTCTCCAGGCGCCGCAGCAGAACGCCTCGCTCGTGAGCCGGGCGACCCTTGGTGGGGACCTGGGGGAGGCGTTGGGGGAGCCCAACGAGAAGGAAACCAACGTCTCGGTGAGTGGCAAAACCTCCGACATAGCGTAGGGAAACACAGCTTCCTTCAAAGGAAGCCTTAGAACGGCTGTCAAATCCCTAAAAGGGATGATGTCCGTCTCCTCACAAACAATATCTCCCTGGCATTTCTCAAACGAAACCCGTGATTTGGCACCGCGCCTGTTGTGCAAACCAGGATCTTGGTCCGCGCAGAGCGCTTGGATTCCATGCGGATGGAGTAGCCCACCAGGTCCCCCAGTCCTGGCCATAAAATGGCCCTCTCGCGGTGAATGACCATTTGTCTGCTACCCAACAGGATTGTCAGCTTGTTTTGGGAGAAAACCACATTATCTCTTGAGAGAAGTCAAGGGGTCGGTGTCTAAAATCCCACCGATCTCTGAAAGGGTGGCCGATGGAAAAAGCCAATGCCGATACCAACGTGGTTGATGTCCCATGACTACGTCACCCTAAACTGGGATTCCCTTCGTACAGCAAGAAGCCTTGAAAGAAGGGCCCTTGGATTGAAGTCATGGCGATAGCGAAACATGGAACGGTGAAGGTTGGGGTTTGTATACTCCCCGACGTCTGAAGCATCAAAACACCCTTGGTTGTTCCTCCTTACATTGGCTTTTTCCCGACTTGGCTCCTCAGCCCAGCAAGTTGTTAGAATTGGGTTTGGGGTGCAGCATGCCTAATCACTCACTCAATGCGTCGAATAGCCAACGAGTGCAAGGTTGACCTCCTTGGGCACGACTTGAAATTGTCTAAACAATGGACTGAGTTTGGGGTCTCGTCTTTCTCGTTAAGTTCTCGGTCGCAACTTTTCCACTATGTTTGGGGTCTCGTCCTTCCCGCTGAGTTTGGGGTCTCGTCTTTTTCAGTGAGTTTAGGGTCTCGTCTTTGTCTACCATCTGAACAAAAGGAAAACGTATCTGCAGGATCAGTTGCTGTGGGCGGTTTTAGAAACAAGGCGAAAGCTCTGGGGTAGAGATCAACTGCAGGCATACCCACTAAAGATTCTTCTAGAGGCAGTCCAAAGTGGGATCGTTTCTAGCCTCAAGAGCAAGAGCACAGAAACTGTACATCTCGCCACAAGTGAGCCCCCACGAATGCGTTGCTGAGTTATGTTTATGGCGCAATCCGACACAGTCCAAAGAAAATCAAAGGGGAACAAGACGACAAGAAGTCAGGATCATGGGTTCCTCAGTTTCGCAGGTGCGAGTTCAACCCAGAAAATCAATGTGGGCAGGCGCTGCATGAGCGCTAGCTTTCATGTGTATCCTGTGTTCATCTCGTTGGCAATGCGGTCAGCCACCCCGATCGCGCTGATTCTTCGCGGCTGCGTCATGATGATGCTGGCCTGATTCACAACAAAAACTATCAAGAATCAAGCCGGTGCAAACGCCTCGAACGGGAGTGTCCGACTCAGGCCCTGACAGCACCGCCCTGACCTTTGGCAAGCCAGTCTTCGAAAATGAACCTTACAGCTTGGCTCGCAGGGAGTGACTGACCTGCTGTGACATCCGTTGTGGTTTCCTTTTGGCGGAGCCCTCACCCTTGAAATATCCTGAGAAGCGGCAATACTAGACTGCATCAAAGGCGAAGCAATGCCGAAAAAAAGAAAAGAACCGAGTTGCTGCGGCACCTGCGTGGACTTCCTGAGTTCAAGAGTGTGGCTTGCTTGTACGCCCTTGCTTCACCAGTGTCACAATCGAAGCTTTCTGCTGAAGGAGACTATCATGTCCACCTAAAATATGTTATACCTGGGCTTGGCTCACCCTGGCCTTTGTCTCCGTGCAAAGGCAAGCCACCCACAGCCGGTGTCTCCCTCAATCACCACCACTTGAGCGTCCAACACCTGCAGCTGGGGGTGTGTCGAAATTGTGAACAACCACAAAACAGGTTGTTTTCCCTTTAGATTCCTGTTGAAACCACCAAAAAAGGTTAAACACACCCACACAGCCACACACACACACTTTCAAGCGCCGTCCACCAAGATTCCGGCTGCTGCTTGAATGACGTCTCTCTGAGTGTAGGCAGGCAACGATTCGCCTGGCAGCCAGCTGAGGTGATGTGCCACGAGGAACAAACAAGGTTTGGAAAAACATATTGGCAACAATGTGGGTATTCCTTGCTTTGAGGGTACCCTTTTTGCGGTCCTCAAGAGAAACCACAGGGAAAGTCGGAAACCACCCATTTTATGATCCATGCATACATGTAGTAGTGCAGCAGAAGCACGAGTCTTTTGGAGCGGCCGCTCCCGTGACAACTCCACCTGAAGCTTCTGACTTTCGCTCCTCCGAGTCAAACGCATCTCCACGCAAAGTGACGCAACCGCAGCCAAATTTGGCACGGCTCCGGCTGTCCTTGTCTGGGCCAGTCGGCGCTGGAGCCAAGCGGCATCATCGGCTTGTTCGCCTGGACTGCGTGTGCGCAACCAGCCTGCAATCAAGCCCAGTGACCTTGCGCATTCTCTGCGGGCTCTGCCTGGCTGAACACATGTTGGCAAGTGCACGCAAAACTTTCGCACGGTGACGGTGGTGTGCCTCCTGTATGCGAGACGTAAGAGATGGCGCGTCAAAGGCAAGCGTTGCCCCGTCGGAATCTCCATTTCTCACCTTGACAAGAGGCACCAAGGAAAACATGTCGCCATCTTATCCACTTGCAGCGTGGCTTGGCGACTCACAAGTCCCCTCTATCCAAACTGGGGACCTGCGCAGGGATGCACTCTGGGTGGAATAATTGTAGGGGTGCCTCCTTGCCATGGGAATTTTGGTGACCCTAACAAGTTCTATCAGTTCCAACAAATAGTGGTTGTTCGGCAACACAAATGTTAGTCTTTTGGCGAAAGCGAACAGAACCATTAATCATCAGAACCCTTGAAACCGGTTTCCTGATCGCTTTTGGATGCACCTTCCTAGTGATGCAAACCGACGATGCTGAGCTCAGCTGCTGGACGCGAGGATTCCTCATGCCCGCCTGGGCTGGAGCTCACGCTACACGCAGGTCGGCCAAAACCAGAAAGGGTCCCAATTTGGGACCGTGGTGCCCCTGTGCCTTCCATTATAGAGGGGTGAAGCCAAAAGGCCTGAGCAGCCCTCACACGACTGCGCGGTTGCTGCATCCGAAGAGCGCAGCCACCGGATTCTTTCAGCTACATCCTCTGCACTGCCCAATTCATCGTAGCCTCAGGTGCTTGAAATTGCTGGAACTCACCAGAACTCGGTAGGGAGCACTGGAGTTATTGTCAGAACCTGGTATTAAAAGGGAATTTCCCAAAACCCACGGCAAAGAATCTCAGGCGAATATCCACACCCATGTTTGGCAAGGGGCTGCCCCTCGCTAAGTTTTATCTAGCCAGTCTTTGAGTGTCAGGGTTGACCAATCCCAATCCAGCTCAAAACGATGATTTGGTCCCCTCCGGTAACAGTCATGGGAATGGAAGCTTTGGGAGACTAGCATTTCTTTTGGGGAAACACCCTGTGCACCTTCATAAGTCTATGAGTGTTTGCACCCCCACCAACCAAATTAATACCCTGAATGGAAAACTGGACACATACCCTTCGTCAGTGCTGTGCAGTGATTGGGGGTCGTTGAGGGCGGGACGTCCTGGGACTGCGCTTTTCAGATCCCTGGGGGCTGTGTTTGTTTCCTCTGATTGGACACGCTCCTTGTTGAGTTATTTTAGTTTTACTTTGAAATTTTAGTTAGAATATCTGGAGTAAAAATCATACGAAATATCTTAGAGGTCCTGTCTACTGATTTACAAAGCCGGTTCTATTGGAAAGGAACTCCTGCGTAGCAGTTATTTGACATAGAATATTCAAAACTTGTAAAAAAAAAAAAAAAGAGTGTAACATTTATTTTGAAGCCTAATAATCATTATTCAAACTATACGTTAACATAGAAAGTCTGATTGGATTACCACTTATTTCAGTCAGATACTGAGAAGAGTTTGGTAAAGCTACTAAGTCATTCAAAATCGTGTTTTCTATGTTTACTAGCTCAAGCACTAACATGGGCAGGAAACACCGGAAAACACAGCATGTTGTAGCGCTGTTGATTCTCAACTCACATCTCCACCAACAGCGCTCTTCAAAATTCAGCTTGAATTTGAGTCGGATTTAATTGGGACTGAATAAGGAAATACTTGATCATAATCCTACTGCGAACTGCATCTTACATTTGCACTCTAGTCAGAGATCATGTTCAGTAGAACTTTACAATCAAATTAGAGTTTAAACACAATTTCATAAGGAATGAATCCAATCACAACTTCTTTGTTTGAATAGAACTTGAATTGGACTGTTTCCATTTAAAATACAAATTCTGACCAACCCCAAGTCTCGAAGGATCAGATGGGGGTTGTACAAAATTACTTTGCCTGGGGACCCCCCAATCGCCGGCCAATCGCGCCCCAATCGCGATCCCACAGGGCCCAATCGCGGAGCAACGTTGGCCATCGCTGCTGCTTCTGTTGTCGCTGTCCTATCCCATGCACTGCCTTCCTCCATCCATACCTGAAGGAAGTGACATAGCTCGGATGGGCAGGGGCTCACTGGTATAACTCGTCCAATCGCCGTCCAATTGCCGTCCAACCGCGGTCCAACCGCGGAATTCGGCGATGAAACTTCGGTTTGCAGCCTTTGCCAGAAAGTAGACTTGGAAAGCACAGCTTGGGCCTGCGCAGACGAAAACAACATTCAGCTTTCCAGGAGGAACTTTTGTGCGAGCCGGTGCAGTCAAAATAAGCGAGTCGTACGTCGGCACAACAATCGAAACACCATGCAGCGTCTAAATTCACAATAATTCCGTTGCCCTTTCGCAGTCCAATCGCCGGCCTTTCGCGGCTCGATCTTTCCCAATCGCGCGGTTCAACAAGTTGCCTCTGTTCATAAGTTTTAGACATGCAATTACGGACGGCCCTCAGATGAACATGATGGGCTTGGTTGTGTGGGTTAGTTCCTTGTTGTTTGATTTTAGCCTCCCCAACCCTAAAAACCTACGGGGGGGGAACAGGTCTCGAACGAGCAAACGAAGATGCTAGGCTTGTTTTTTTGGTGTTTTTGCTGTTTGCTTTTGTTTTTGTTTTTTAGCCTCCCCAACCAAAAAAAGCAGAAACAAGACTGGCCTGGAACGAGCAGAAGATGATGGGCTTGTATTTTTGTGTTTTTTGCTGTTTGGTTGGTTTTTGATTAAAAAAAAAAAAACACGGCATTCCTGAGTTTCTGGGCGGCCCCGCGGCGCCGCCTAGCCTCGGAGACGTGCTTCCCTTGCTGGAACGCCAGCTCTGTCTCCTCACAGACAGCAGCTCCCTTGGCGAACATCATTCCCAGTCGGTCTCCCTCGAAGTGAATCGTGTGTCTCCTGAAGTTCCTCCTGGGATTCTTCAAGAAAGGTGAGAAGTGCCTGAGGCCGGGCTTGAGCACGGTCAAAACTAATTGCTTCCCTGGGAAAGTGAGTTTTGCCCGTCCCCCATTCCCCCTTCTTTGACCGGACCTGTGCAGCCATCTCAGGCAACGGCCTCCACCTTGCTGTCCTTCGTGCGGAGCCATGGGCCAACCTCGTCGACAAAGTCTTCCCAGGGTGCTGCACTGACCTAAGGCAATCCAGGGATCGGGCAGTCGGCCAATCGGCTTCTCGCCAGTGCGTTCGTCTCGGAATGCTGAGCATGCCGCGCGTTGGCATGTATCCCTCACCGTCTCAGGCTTGCCTCAAGCCGTTCAAGTCCGCCAGCTCCAAAGCTTTGCACAAGAAATATAATAAGAGCCTTGCCAGAAGTTGATGCACCGTCTCCACCTGTCACCTGCTGAAAGCACAAACGCGACAGCACATCAAAATGTCAACATGACAACGAATGCAAGAGATACCACACCTTCGGAAACACGTGCACCAACTTCAGATTTCTTTGTGTATCCTGGGCAATCCATCCCAAATCAGTGCAAGCACAGATTGCTGCTCCCAAATCTGAGTGAGAGCACACAGCGCCCCTAAACCCCAAGGAGGTCCCCTAAACCTGAGCCGAGCGATCAACGCATGGGCAAGCCCTCAGCGGGTCATCTTTAGCGCAATTCGAATGGCACAAGTGTCAACTTGTCAATGGACAAGTTATCCGATTCTCAGCTCTAATTCTGAGACAAGTTTCATGCTGTCCCTTGAAGGTGCCAGCGCTCAGAAGGTCGTTTGATGCAGCTGAATCTTGCGCGAAGCCAATGTCCTGCCATACGTGGCAGCGCCAAACACCACCGCCCAAGGTCTGGGTCTTATTGCCCCTCCTGAAGAGAAGTTCCCAGGAAGCGCGCGAGGCTTTCGCCTGGACTGGCGACAGTGACATCTTGAATCTACGCCTCAAGTAGATGGCTTGACCTCTTCAGCCGAGCTGCTGTATTTGCTGCGAACAGTTTTACCTGACAGGCATGTCACTGCACCACTGTCTCAAACACATGGAGCATATTGATTTGCCCCAGATTGGCGGGTTTTTTTCCTTTGGTTTCCCAACAATAAACCCAAAAGGGTATGTCCTTGTCGACAGCCCTCGTCAAGACCCTCAAAAGACGAGCCGATGTCGGTGGCCTCCGCCGACCACAAAGGTGACCTCAGCTCAAACAGTCCCTCTTCCCCTTTAAGCATCACCCCAAAGGAAACTCGATGTTTTCTCAAAGGGACCAAAAGGCGATGTAAACCGCCCTTGAAGGCACGGCCGACGGAACTGTTGGACGGAAGGTCTCGGGTCTCGGCGCGGATCATTTTGCCCTCGGTCTCCAAAGGCGTCGCGAAGGCGTCCTTCACTAAGGCCTTGACCTGGAGAAGAAGGAACCAAAAGTAGAGGGGGGGGTCTCACTCCAAATGGTTGGCCCCTTGCAGTAACCAAATCGTTTCTAACTAAATGTCGGTGCCAAGGATCCATCCAAAAAAAAACTCCGAATCAGCAGGTAAAAGTGTTGTTTGATGTGGGTGATTCTCCAAAATGGGGTGGTTGTTTGTTTCCACGGGGTTTCCAACATGGTTGTGTATTGATTTCTGAAACTACGTCAAAGAAAAACAGCTTGACCCAGTTCAAAATAGGTTGCTTCCTTTTGGCGTTGCTTTAAACGGTAAACAACAAAAGGGTGTTCACCATTTTGAGAAACCCCCAGCCTCTTTGGGCAACCCCGTGAAAAGGTGGCTTTAAATGAACCTTGCGAACGTGCACAAGGGGCCTGCGGCTCTTCATAGCCCGCAAGGTCATACTGCGCGGTTTCCTCAGCGGTGCTCAGGTCAAGAGACTCAAAGCGGAGCTTGGTCGATTGATCTAAGCAGCTAAGCTTTGCTTTAAGTACCAGTGGGTTGTCAGTGTGTGCTGATGCGAGTGTGACAAGAACGTGAAGTCATACCGACTCAAGCAGGCTGAACGATTCCAAATCTGTCCCAGGAATTTGATTCAGAGGATAAGCATGACAAACCAGACTTTTCATTCCTGGCACAGCACTCAGTAACAGCGGATTTCCCCATGGATGCTCTAAGATCATTCACTGAAGTCAGCGTCAGAAGACATGTCCCGTGAAGATCGACTGGATTGACCAAACCTCACAGGCCAAGAGGCCGGAGTGCTTCGGATTTGGGCTGCGATCTTGTCTTTGGCTCTGGACTCCTGGAGAATCTCATGCTGTCCGAACACCAATGTGGGTGTCACAATAGCGATGCGGACCCACCATAATGGCGGCGTCCTCCTTTAAACCAACCTAAAAAGGCGGCCATCGAAAACAAACCCATGTGCCCATGGACACCAATGTGCTCGCAATGCCATTTCCACAATTGCAAGTTGCTTCATGGCAACCTCACTCCACTCTTTTGGAGGTGCTGACAAGGGCATGATGAAAAGTCCAGTCTCGTACAGCGTGAAACAATGATCGCCTCTTACTTCTATCCTGTCAAATGCACGTTCCAGCGGTAAGCCTGGCATTTGGCAAAATGGCTTCTAGTGCTTTGATTCCACGTCACAGCATTTGACAGTTCCCGAGCCGTACCCTCTCTCATCTGAGGTCGGGCATGGTACACTGCTCTGGCTACAAATGTCTGACCATTGTACCTCAATTTGTCCTGTGGTGATCTCACGTGGCAGCTTGGCGCCGTGAGTACAGCAAAGGGCGCATGCAGAGCATCAGAAGTTCAAGCTCTGCTGAAGGATCTCAGATCGGTCCAATGCCTCCTGCCATGTGCACTCTGGACGTCAGCATGTCATGGTCATTCCTTGCGAGATGTCTCTTGAGGACTCTCCTGGTGGACATAAACTTCATTGACCCCATCTGCTGTGTTTTTTAAACCCAATGCAGGTGGTCTGCAGAAAAACACACAATGCCATGTGATGCTTTCTTAAATGGCTCTCTCTCTCTCTCTCTCTTTATGTATATATATATATACTATATACACATCGGGTACCCGCAAATGAGTGGTTTCTCTTTGCTTCCCTTTAAGACTTCCCTCAAGCAGAGACAAACCCAAATGTGATTCGGTTGGCAACTCGTGGCCTGCGGGCTGTCATCCGTGAACTGCCTCAGAGCAAAGCGCCCGGCTCTGCAACCCCGTGCTGGCGAATCATCTATCGGGAAATGCTCTCTGCGGATTTGGTGGACATCAATCCCCACGTAGAGTCTGTCTCAAAAATAGGCATCTCCCTGGGAAACGAAAAGGAAACCAATTACCTGGAAGGGTCCCGAATCTCGAGAAACACCCCCAAAAAGAGTCCCACCACTTAAACTGAAACTCATACCCATCTCTCGTCAAATGTGTCACGATCTCCCGAGCTCTAAGACTTGAGGCAAGTGGCGTGTTGCCTTTTGGCGAAGCCTTGGAAGACTCCTTAGCAGCAAGGTGGGTGTCAAAATAAGGGGAACGCCAAAAATGGGGCTTCGGTTTGGCTTCCCTGCGAAAATAGACAACCAAAAAGGGCACCTCGAAAACTGTTGAACATCCAAATCCAATCGCTCAGTCAAGGCTCCAGTTGAGAAGTGCTGGCGGCTCCCTCACCTGACGACTGTGGGCTCGCCCTTTGTGCAAGCAAAGCACCCCCCGCCTGATGCCAGCAAGGAACCCGCCTGAATGGGGGGGCTTCACACGCACTCATCTGATGGTGACGTATGAATTTGAATTGGGGACCTTTTGGTGGACATCGTGGGTGTCCACCAACCACTTTTGAGGTGGTTCCCTTTTCATAGTCCTAGCCACAAGCTCCAATCTGTGCCATAGGCAACTCCTTCTGTGGTCCCTGTCTATTGTTCCCTTGAAAACTCTTGAAATACGGGGTCCATAATCCTTATCTCGACAAGCGTCGCTTCGCAAAGCGCTGTTGTTGCCCATCGCAGGAGAGGACAAAGCGCCTTAGCCGCGAGTTTGCCTCGATGATTTGGGGTTCCAGGTACCCTTTTCGGATATGTTCGGCATTGTCTAAAAGAGTAGCCGCAGGAAACCACCCCGTCTCCATTCGCTGACACAAGGAGTCTTCTTGCCATGCTCAGGTGCCGGTCCATTTCGCAGGGTTTCTGGGACTCTGGCGTTTCATAGTTGGTGGCACGGCACGATAATTCCTGCATCAGGAAATGTGCAAACACTGCAACAAAAGTGCACAATCAAACACGAGGGCTCAGGGCGTGGCAGCGGGTCTCGCTTTCCTGTCAGAACTCCCCATGGGGGCCTCGATTGCAAGTTCTCCATTTGACTTCAGCACACGGACACTTGTGTGTAGCGCATGGTGAATAGCTGCATTCCAGCAGCTTCAGCATAGTCGTTGTGCCGTTGTGCGGAACAACTCCTTGGCGCGTGTCTTTGAGATAAAGGCCAGCCAATCCCAAGTATAGTGCCAATGAACTTGCCAAGACGCCCTTGGTTGGATTTTTCTTGGCACCGCAAGGATGCTTGGTGTAGTACGGCACGCCGTCCAGGTTTGCTTTGAAGGATGGCATCCTGCAAGAACCGTCTCACCCTCCCCTCTCCCCTCTCCGTGCCAAAAACTCAGCCAAGAAGCGCATCGCGGCTTGGATCGGTGCGGAGCAGTGCCATCTTCCTGTGCAAACGTGCGTGGCCGCAACTTCGAGTCACAGCCACGCCCGCCTGTCAAAAGCCGTGTTGCGGTGCAGGACGTCAAAGCGGATGGACGGAATGTGGCCCCCGTAGCCAGCAGGAAAGTCGCCTCAAACAAAAGCAATGCGCTATGACAGGCGCAGACTTTCTGCGCCAGGTCACTCTTCGCATAGGTTTCTCTGCCGTGGGACATGTCCTTAGATAGTATGCTGTGCGCATGCATGCACAGCTGCTTGTCTACGTCTACATCTGTTTGTGTGCATCAATTTATGTGTGTGTGTATATATACTACTGGATGCGATTATTCTCGGCATAACAATAAAATCCTAAGAAGTCATTGGGAACAATGTAGCAATAAACATGCAATTACAAGGATAATGAGAGAGAGAGAGAGAGAGAGTGTGTGTACATGAGGATGAAGATAAACATGTTCTACTACCAACAATATTTCCTCCAGTGAGAGGATAGCAGCTATACTCCGAAAGACAGAGCAAAATGGAAATGTGCTACAACATGATGTGCATCATGTAATTCTAGATCCACTGCAGGATTTCCTAAACTCCTAAGCCTTTATGGACACAAATTCTAACTAGTGAATGGAATAGTATAATGAACTAATAAAATAGGAAGTCAGACAGATTGAGCTTGAGACCTGGCAAAGGTTCCTTTGTAGATGTTGTTTTGCTAGCTCAGACAGGCGAGCCGCCAAAACAGCAAAAACCGAGAAGAATGTCTGCGAGCTTCCTTTCCCTCAAAAAAGTCTGTGTTTCGTATTGCGTCGTTTTTTTTGGTGTTTTTCCGGCTACCGTTGGCTCAGAGAGTCTGGTGTTTCAGTGTTTTCGGCTTTGAAGGTTTGCCCACAGCATGAAACGTCAAGAGCAATTGCCCTTGGAATTGCCCTTGTTTGGCGTCTTGTTCAGACCCCCAAAGACTGGAACTACCAATCAATTCTGCAAAAGGGTGGGTGTTGGGGGAAAATATAAATAAATATATAATTATAAAATATGCATATTTGCATTGTACAAACATGCTATGTGTACAATGATACCTGTACACATGTACAGCTACATGTACATAAAGATGTGCATGTTAATGGGCTGGTCTCCATCCAAGGCGCTGAGTAGGTCGTGCGATACATGTTCTTGAAGAGATCTCCTCGGGGGCCACCAGGAACTATGCATAGCAAATCCGCCGGCCCCTTCTGCCAAAAGGGAGGCGCAAGGGAAGAGTGAGTTTATGCCAGCTCTTGCATGCGCTGTCCTGCACCGACGACCCCTAACCTAAACAACATCTAAAGACTATGAGAGAGATGTGCAAGTCTAGAAGGCTCTGCGCTAGAACTTCGGCCGTTTTCTCAAACACCTGGAATAAGAAGCCCTGCTGGTGATGCTGGGGATGTTGCTGCTGCGTCCGATCTCTCTTATATTCTTATTAGACATCTGTGAGGTTCCTTTTGGGGCACATTTCGCTTCGAAATCTTCCCGTGCCGAGGCGTCATCATCATCATCATCATCATTCAAGTTTGTCCCTTCCTTATCTTACTAGCTTGTTACTCGTATATAAATTTCAGCTGTGACTTTAGGCAGTGCTGGGAAGCCACAGCTGTCTCCGCCACCCCCATGGCAAAAACAGGAGAACCATCACCGGGCAAAGCAACGGCTGTCTCCGCCACCGTCGGGTAAAGCCACGGCTGTCTCCGCCACCCCCGTGGAAAAGACAGAGGGGAACACATCACGTCGGGCAAAGCCACGGCTGTCTCCGCCACCCCCGTGGCAAAGACAAAGGCGAACCATCACGTCGGGCAAAGCCACGGCTGTCTCCGCCAACCCCGGGGCTAAGACAGGCGAACCATCACCGGGCAAACCCACGGCTGTCTCCGCCACCCCCATGGCAAAAACAGGAGCACCATCACCGGGCAAAGCAACGGCTGTCTCCGCCACCGTCGGGTAAAGCCACGGCTGTCTCCGCCACCCCCGTGGAAAAGACAGAGGGGAACACATCACGTCGGGCAAAGCCACGGCTGTGTCCGCTGGCAAAGACAGAGGGGAACACGTCACGTCGGGCAAAGCCACGGCTGTCTCCGCCACCCCCGTGGCAAAGACAGAGGGGAAACATCACGTCGGGCAAAGCCACGGCTGTCTCCGCCACCCCCGTGGCAAAGACAAAGGCGAACCATCACGTCGGGCAAAGCAACGGCTGTCTCCGCCACCGTCGGGTAAAGCCACGGCTGTCTCCGCCACCCCCGTGGAAAACACAGAGGGGAACACATCACGTCGGGCAAAGCCACGGCTGTCTCCGCCACCCCCGTGGCAAAGACAGAACATCACGTCGGGCGGGGCTAAGACAGGCGAACCATCACCGGGCAAAGCCACGGCTGTCTCCGCCACCGTCGGGTAAAGCCACGGCTGTCTCCGCCACCCCCGTGGCAAAGACAGAGGGGAACACATCACGTCGGGCAAAGCCACGGCTGTCTCCGCCACCCCCGTGGCAAAGACAGAGGGGAACACATCACGTCGGGCAAAGCCACGGCTGTCTCCGCCACCCCCATGGCAAAGACAGAGGGGAAACATCACGTCGGGCAAAGCCACGGCTGTCTCCGCCACCCCCGTGGCAAAGACAAAGGCGAACCATCACGTCGGGCAAAGCCACGGCTGTCTCCGCCACCCCCGATACAAGTGGCAAAGACAGAGGGGAACCATCACGTCGGGAACCATCACGTCGGGAAAGGGGAACCATCACGTCGGGCAAAGCCACGGCTGTCCCCCACCCCCGTGGCAAAGACAGAGGGGAACCATCACGTCGGGCAAAGCCACGGCCGGGGCAAAAACAGGGGCGAACCATCACGTCGGGCTAAGCCACGGCTGTCTCCACCCCCGTGGCAAAGACAGAGGATCACGTCGGGCAAAGCCATGGCTGTCTCACCACCCCCGTGACAAAGACAGAGGGGAACCATCATGTCGAGCAAAGCCACGGCTCTCCCCGCCACCCTCGTGGCAAAGACAGAGGGAACCATCACGTCGGGCAAAGCCACGTGGCAAAGACAGAGGGGAACCATCACGTCGGGTAAAGCCACGGCTGTCTCCGCCACGCCCGTTGCAAAGACAGAGGCGAACCATCACGTCTGGCAAAGCCACGGCTGTCTCCGCCACCCCCGTGGCAAAGACAGAGCGGAACCATCACGTCGGGCCAATCCACGCCGTCACCGCCACTCCCGTGGGGGGAACCATCACATCGGGCAAAGCCATGGCTGTCTCCACCACCCCCGTGCGGCCAAGACAGGGGGGAGCCATCACGTCGGGCAAAGAAAGCTACGGCTGTCTCCGCCACCCCCGTGGCAAAGACAGAGGGGCGCTTTCGTGGCAAAGACAGAGGCTGCCACCCCCGTGGCAAAGACAGAGAGGAACCATCACATCGGGCAAGGCCACGCCTGTCTCTGCCACCCCCGTTTCTATTACAGAGGGGAACCATCACGTTGGGCAGAGCCACAGCTGTCTCCACCACCCTCGCGCGGCCAAGACAGGGGGAAACCATCACGTCGGGCAAAGCTACGGCTGTCTCCGCCACCCCCCGTGGCAAAGACAGAGGGGAACCATCACGTCGGGCAAAGCCACGGCTGTCTCCGCCACCCCCGTGGCAAAGACAAAGGCGAACCATCACGTCGGGCGAAGCCACGGCTGTCTCTGCCGCCCCCGTGGGCAAATCGTCGGGCAAAGCCACGGCTGTCTCCACCCCCGCGCGGCAAAGACAGGGGGGAGCCATCACGTCGGGCAAAGCCACGGCTGTCTCCGCCACCCCCCGTGCAAAGACAGAGGGGAACCATCACGTCGGGCAAATCCACGGCTGTCTCCGCCGCCCCCGTGGGCAAATCGTCGGGCAAAGCCACGGCTGTCTCCACCCCCGCGCGGCAAAGACAGGGGGGAGCCATCACGTCGGGCAAAGCCACGGCTGTCTCCGCCACCCCCCGTGCAAAGACAGAGGGGAACCATCACGTCGGGCAAATCCACGGCTGTCTCCGCCGCCCCCGTGGGCAAATCGTCGGGCAAAGCCACGGCTGTCTCCACCACCCCCGCGCGGCAAAGACAGACGGCTGTCTCCGCCACCCCGTGGCAAAGAAAGAGGGGAGCAAAGCCACGGCAAAAGATGGTAACCATCACGTCGGGCAAAGCCACAGAGCCTGCTCGTGGCAAAGACATGGGCTAAGGCCGGGCGGCACAGGGCAGCAGCCCGAAACCCAAGGAAACACTGGGTGTGTCGTTTACCTTGGAGTTGTTGATCTCTTTTGGGGGGTACCCCTTTAAAGGGAAACAAAGGAAACATCGCCATGTTTTGGAGCTTCAGGGGGAAGCTTGGCTCTGACATACCCGGTGAACTTGGCTTCTGCTCACTAAAATTGCAGCGCAAGGTGCTGTAGGATTCATGCCACTCCTTAGATCCAGAGCAGCTTTCAGATCTGGGATGCACTGCTCAGCCCTTGCGTGTCTAGGCTGTTTATGGCCACGTGCCACAGATGGGGGGCAGTCAAAAAGCATAGCCCCTCTTTTCGGATGCTGGTGCCGCCCAAGGCGCCGCCTTTGAAGGGGGATACCAAAGGGCCCCCAAACCCCCGATGAGAGGCTGCCTTTCCCTGCCCAGTGGCCCACTGCTTGGCAGGATCGCCGGCCAGGAGACCCGATTGATCTGGCACTGACATGGCCTTGCATGCGGCTCGATTTGGGAGCGTCCTTTGTGGAGGGTAGCCCCTTTTTGTGGCTTTACAAGAACACCAACAGAAAAGCTACATTTTGAGGGTCCCGTAAAATAATCAAAGAAGCTGAGCGGCAATTGGGCAGGAAGAGGGCAGCTGAAACCTTGCGGCCCTTGATCCAAAGAGGCTGCATGGCATCCCGCAATTAAATACTGTACGCGTCAAGCATCCAACACGATCCAAGAGGTTCTTGTAGAGTGCCAAGCCGTGTGCAAGGTGGATTTCCCTCTAGCTGTGGGTTACGCACTGACAGCTCGTGTCCTCTTCCATCATCTGCTGAAGAAGCCTGGGCTCCCAAAAAATTGCTACATCAAAGAGCTGCAATCCGATTCTCTGCAAGGCCCGTGCATTGTGCGTCGCTCAAGCATCAAGCACACAATCATGTCAACTTCAGATTCATCTGTGAAGGACTGCAACAATCAGCCGTGACTTCCCTTCTAGAGCCTTCTAGTAAGGAAACGATCTGTTTTAGGAGGTTCCTCTGACTCTGACTGGTAGGATCCTCCAGATTAGTCTGGCCTGTCCTATTTGAGTTGCTTCGTACATCTACTCTCATCTGGTGGGGGGGGACAAGACTTGGTGCAGCCAGCAAGCTCTTGGAACATGAAATGATGCAAATCACAGGTCAAGGCAAGCAGCTCAATGCGCTTGGCTTTCTCAGCGCCTTCCTCCTTCTCCTGCCAAAGCGCGGCAGATTCGGCACCTGTGGCCAAGAATGGACAGACCTTCGTCTGCGCTTCTGCGATACGCTGCTCGGCCAGATCTCGTTGTGATCTTTGCATGGCGTCAGCGTCTGAAAGTTCCTCACGGACACCGAAAGTAAAGACCAAAGCTCTGCAAGCGCAAAGATCGACACGCGCTGGCCTGTTTGTCACTGTCCGCAAGCACCAAAAAACGAGGGCCATTTTCTTGCAGCCACTCACCTCAAGAGCACATGCCGGAAGGCAAGAGAAGTTCAAAATTCAAGGCTTGCTTCGAGGGTTCGCTGCGGTTCGCTCAATGCCAGGTGACAAAGGATGAAGAACATAGGTGCTCCAAGCGCCTGCTCACAAACTTCTCCAAGTGCCTGGGACCAAACTTCTCAAAGTTCGAATCTGTGAGAGGTACGTTGCCTGCATCAGCCTTGGGCGATTTGCCTCTCGCAGGCGGTCATGCCTTGCCCACTTTCCACGCGAGCAAATTGAGTTCATCCACCACTCTTGGCGCCCGACCGCGGGCACAGCAACGGCGACACGTGCGGGTACAAGAGCCCTCCGGGAATCCTCTGCCACTCGCCGGTGAGCTTGATCTCACACTCTTAGTGACTCAAAATGAAATCTTGTTCCAAAGGAGTCTACTCAAACCGATGCAAGTATCCAAAAAGGTCGCAACTACCCAAGGTTGATGCTGTATCTCTGCCAGGCTGCATGAAGGCCATAGTCCACCTTCCACCGCCGCCGCCAATGCCACTGGCTGGAAGCTTCACCAGCAGCTCGAAGCCATCCAACCCGGCCTGGCACATGTCCGGAATCCAACATTTGACAAATAAAACATGTAGGCGCAGCCTGTCCAAAGGTCTGAACATTCTCTTCTCCTAGGCAAAACAGCCCGTCCAATGATTCAAACCAAGGGATCTTGGGGCATTGCCATAGATGCTTTGCATAGCTTCTACCTCTTCCATCAGCTCTTCCGGAGAAGCTGGTGCTGCAGAATCTGGCTCTGTGCCTGGCACTCGCTGGTCAATCTGTCAAGGTCAAACCTGCTGCCTGGTGGTAGGTCCAGGGGCAGGAACTCTGCGAGCAAGGACTTCCTAAGGCAAGCACTTTTGTCATGTGAAGGCTTCAAGCTAAAGCCAGGGGGTACCTTCATGCATGAATCTCTGTACCATTGAGTCTAAGTGGTTGCGAGCAACATACAAACATACTGACATGGTGTGTGTGTGTGTGTGTGTGCCTACCCGCGCTGCCTGGCTCATCGCCTGAGTTGTCACAGGCTTCTCAAACTAAGAAGCGCAAGTGTGTGTGTGTGTGTGTCTCTCAAAAAGTGTGCTGGCATACCGGCGTCACCACTCGTCTGATTTGGAACTGAAAAGAGCGTACATGATCACGGCACATAGCCAAATATTTGAGTATATACATATGCATATCAATATATGTATACATCATATGTACCAGGACTGGGAAACAGCAAGATGTGGGTCTTTGGGCTGCTGTGCTTTCCACGTTGGAGGAACCGCTTCGTAGCTCAACTCGTGAGAACTTGTTTCCAAGCTGCACAGCAGGCAGCAGCTGATGATCGGGAGCTTCAGCCAAGGCCTACTGCATCTGCCAAGCGTGTGGCTTTTCTTGGGGGACTACCTGTTGGCTTTAAAATGGAACCCACCAGGAAGCCAACCTGTTTGGGGTGAGGGGTCCCCAAGTTCCAACAAAAAAAAGGCCTTCCACAAGCGGCCTTCCCGCCCTCGCCTGAATCGCGCGGGCACGGCTGAATCCCAGCTTCCTTGGATTCAGCACTCTTGACATGGACATTGCGGGATTCGAAGCATGAGATGTCCTTCAAGGCCAGCACTCTATGCGAGTGATGTGCGTGCCTTCCTTAGCTCAGTGGGTTCAACTGCATGCAAAAGCTACCATGAGTGCCGCTCTCGCCAGACCCTCCTTGCCTCCGAGTTTCTATCTGTCCTCCATGCAGCAATGCCTTGGGAAGGCTTGCAGCAAGGAATCAATTACCACCTCAATTCAGGCAAGATGCCTTGGTCTGAAACGCGACATTCTTTTCTTCCTGAAGCCTCCTAGCCGTTGTGACTTCTCTTGGCTCTTTCCTTAGCTGGCAAGTACATGGCTCAAGTCAGTCACAACGAATAGAAGCAGCATATCGTGGTCGGGACAAATTTACACAACACAGGAGGAAAAATCGTCTCGAACGTCATGCCTGGCATTTAGTCAGAGGTCAGTCGTGATGGCAAACTGGTTTCCGCGGAGGTGCAGCAAATCCATTCCAAAGCTCTCCTCGAATGGCGGCAGCAAGACAAGGGAGAAAGCACAGCCTTCTTGGCCAGGTTGGATAGCCCCTACACAATTTACGGAAGCGAAGAATGAAACCATGGCCAACACTGCATGTTTGCACATGGTGTCTCTTGTGTTGAAGGCACCCTTTGGTGGCCCTCAACGGAAACCAAACGGAAACCACGCAAAGTGGGTCCCATTTGCAGACACACTACGTCTTCAGTGCCTCCCGAGGGTCTCAGCTGCTGCCTTGTCAGTCACCGAAGCGTCCCGCTCGTCGAATTCTTTGCACAGGCGTCTCCCAACCACTGTGAGTGCCTGGAAAGCCATGAAGTGCTTTGCTCATTGCATCTCCCCACAGCCGCAAAGCAGCCCAAGTGCGAGCTAGGAGCGTTTCTTGACTGCACGTCCTGAAAGCCAAGCTCCTTCAAATGTTCCTGCGCCAGCAGTTGCTGAAATGCCCGCATAAGGTTCTCTTCAATGATGTCAGAGTCACCCCTTGCCTGTGACGCATCGATGATCTCTGTTGGAAGTTGAGCACAGCTGGCCTAGTGAAGAGATCACGGCTCCCTATACTTCCAGGAAACTCCTCCAAAAATGGCCCACAAGTTGATGTTCAACCCGGCTGAAAGGGAAGTAAGGCTGAACCATGGTGATCAGAAGCAAACAATGAAGCTCCATCCTCCACAGCTTCCGCAAGCGGAGTCAGCAAAGGCTCCAAAGCAAGATGGTCATCGCCTCAGGTGCGAAGCTCTTGTTCACGCACCCGAACTCATTTTAATGGAGGCGTGCTTCATGCGGACCCTCCAAAATGGGTGCCCTTTTTACATGGACCCCGAGGTGGGCTATCCTCAATCACCGCACCGCCAAGTGGCGTGTCAAATAGAAGCAGCCGTGGATGTACGATGGATCTCCCGCCCGCTCCCAAATGGACATGGCTTCCTCGCGGTGCGACGGTACAAGGCCAACGGTGCGACGGCACATCGCGCCTGCTGAATGCCGCCAGCAGCTCTAGCTGCAGCTGCTGCTATATGTGCTTCAGCCGGAGAGAGGTTGGTGGATGTCTTTCCTTTGCCTTTGACCTGGCAGCTCCAATCGGAAAGAGGCTCTTTGGTGGACATGGTGGACATTTGGGGAGTGTCCAACCGTCTTGAAGGGCGCGCGGCGCATGCTGAAGCTCAAAGTCCGCAAGTGCACTTTGCACTTCCATCTGACCAGTCTGCAGCTTGCCCTCTGCCTTGTCCATCTCCTTTTGCGATTGAAAATTCTGCCGCGGCTCTCGCTTGCCTTTCTCCTTCCCTTTTCCATCCTGCAAAAACTCGCTAACTCGCACTGCCTGCTTGCGAGTTTGCCCCGGCCTTTCCCTTGCCAGAGCCAGAGCCCTGCAACAAGCCAATTTGCTGACGCAGAAAGTGTGGGTACCGCAGTATTTGCTGATGCTTGTTCGTACAAACTGGGGGTTGCAGAGCAGCCTATGTTTGATCCACAGCCTTTTCAGTTCCATGGCCTTGTTGCTGAAAATCGCCCGCGTGGGCACGCTCGCAGCTGCCGCAGCTTGGTTTCTGCCTGGGCTCCGCACACAAGCATGGTCTGCCCTCGCATTCCCACACGAGGTCGCCTTTAAACATCACCCCACTCAGCGGACAATTAGTTCAAAATGGCCCGAAGGTGATAGTTACGGCGTCCTCATTGCCAGCATGCTTGAAGGATCTATGTAGAATCACATGGTTCATGGACCATCCCTTCAAAACATCGTGGAAAAAGCGGTGTTCAAAGTGGCCAACGAACGGCTGGTAGTCTGGGGGCAGAACCGAAACTGGTGAGCAAACCCAGTAGACAATGCCACCAGCAAAAATGCATGTGTCGGTGTGTGTCTGATGGTATCCTGCTTGGGTTGGCTAGCAGGAAACCGAAGGGAAACCACCCAGTTTAGGGGTCTCCCCATTTTGACACACGCCCATCTGTTGCTTTTTGGCTTTAAAGGGAAGCCGGAGGGAAAGCCTCTGGTGAAAGGAGGGAGTCAGACCCATGTGTTTGATGAACCTTGAGACACCTCCGCTCCCTGCCAGAGACCCTGGCGTCCTCCGCCAGAGTTCGGCCCCATGAGCCTCACAAGGCTTCCATATGTCACCGACCTGCGGTACTGAAGAAAAAACCTCCCAACAGGGCGGTTGGGCGGTTCTCCTGTCTCTTTGGCTTGAAACGTCCCCCCAAAGGTGAGATGTTTTTAACAACCAAAAACGGGACGTTTCGGGGAGTTCTGGAGACCTTCCGCCGCTGCCGCGCCTTGCATTACATCCTTCGCGCCACCGTCCGATGCGTTTTTCAAGCGAGGTGGCGGGAATGTGAAGTAAAGCAATTGCTTACTATACAGGTGCCCGGTGGCCTGTGCGCTGGCATACACAAGGCACTGACTGAATTGGGTGTTTGTTTTGTTAAGAGTTGGCACCCTTTGTAAGGGAAGCCAGCTTTGGAGGTCCTCCTGATGCTTGACACATACCCAATACACAGATACAAGGCAGTGACTGAAATGTGAGGCAACAAGGCGCCACCCGGCATGCGCTTGGTACGGGTTGGCGTTGAGCTTTCCATAGGCTCGATTGCTGAGACGGGCAGCGACAAAGCGCCAGCGGCTGTGTCAAAACAAGAAAGCTTAAGCCGCTGAATGGGTTCTAACAAATGGGTGTTTCCATGGTGAACCACATGGCTGCAAGCAATCAGAGCCCGCTTCCTGCATTAGAACCCGTAAAACGGGTCCCCTGAACAAGGTGCCAGCTCAGTCGCCCCACTTTTTTGTCAGAGCCTCATGGCTGGTTGGCTGGTCTACTACTGCTGAATTCGATTCTGCACTTCCCAAGATTTGCACCAAAGAAAATGCCCATCGAACGCCTTCCAGCGCAAGTGATTTGTTTGCACAGGGAAAGCGATGGCGCGGCAGCCAAGGTACAAGCAGGGCTTCCGGTGTGTAACGCGCCACAAGCGAATGCTCATGAACCGAGGCCCGTCGAAAAGCCCCCGTCAAAACCGGTGAAGCCAGTGAGGAGGAAGCAAGGGAAGTACCTGGCTCTAACAATGTGTTTGCCAAGCTGGTCATATCACTGAGTATCGCCTGCAAATGTGGCTCAAGCCGTTCATGCCATCATGCGTCAAGAACCATTGGTTCTGTTGCGCACTTCTTCTTCTCTATTTTGGAGCACCAGTTCCAGCAAGAGGTGAGCCTGCCTGAGGCATGGGGCATTCTGGGGCCGCCAACTGCTCGAGAGGAACTTGAACTTCTCAACGCCAAACAAGCGCCGTGCTCTGCTCTTTTGCACGGTGAGGCGCTGCTCTGCTTTCACGCACTCAGCGGTCAGGTCCGCTCTCAGAAACAAACGCATGGTCTCAGTTTGGACATTGTGAGGCTCCTTGAAAAGGGAAGAGCAACTTGACCACTTGTGCAAGTGGCGGAATGTGCACGGGCCCACAATGATTTGTGTGTGCACTCTTCTTCTGATGTCATGGGGCCGCACACATTCGACCGTCACCATGGGCGATCTCTGGTCATGCAACCACCAGGCGCGTTCTGTGTTTCGTCATATCTTCACCTTCTTCAGCTCAGTCCCTGGCAATGTCAACGCTTTGCGGGAAAACAACCTGATTAGTATGCGTTGCTTGCGATGATGCGGAAATGGGTTTGATCCTTCACACCAACAAATGACAGTGCACGTTGATCACTGCTCAAACAAGTCAACGCTGGCAATGTCGGCCTTGGGGCTTGCCACGGAAGTTTGTGAAGATGCTGAACTCAACCATATCACCTCTCTGGTAGTGCCTTTTCTGGAAGTGATGCAGGAACACGTCCGAGTCGCCGCCAAAGACTTTTGAGAACTGCTCACTCTCGATGAAGCCAAAGCCTTTGTTCTCGAACCAGAACTTGATTCGACCAACAAATCGGCGATCCGTAATGCCCGGGATGACCTCCATGTCAGGAGGGCGATAATTTGGATGGTTCACATTGAACGATGAGCCAGACAAAACGGTTTTGTCCTCCTCGTCATCGTCCTTCCGTGGAAGATCAGCACCATTTGTGTCGGAACCAGACATCATCATCTGGCCCATCATTGCGGCGCCCATCATCATCATCGCCATGGGATTCATGCCATCGCCCTGTCCACAACCACAGCTGTTGCAGCCGCAAGCATTGCAGCCAGGGCTTCCGCAGCCGCAACCTCCGCATCCGCCACAGCCACCCTCACAGCCACAACCTCTGCAGCCAGTGCAGCTACTGCAGCAAGCACCAGGGCAGCCACCACAACCTGCACAGCCACCACTGCCGCAGCCGCAACAACCAGGACAACCGCCACAGCTGCCACAACCTCCACAGCCGCCACTGCAGCCACCACAACCACCACAACCACCACAACCACAGCCGCCACAGCCACAGCTGCCGCACCCGCCGCAGCCGCCACAACCCCCACAACCGCAGCTGCTACAGCCGCCGCAGCCACCACAGCTGCCACAGCCACAACAGCCACCGCAGCCACCACAGCTGCCACAGCTGCCACAGCCGCCGCAGCTACCACAGCTGCCACAGCTGCCACAGCTGCCACAGCTGCCACAGCTGCCACAGCCACTGCAGCCGCGACAAGCGCCACACCCGCCACAGCCTCCACAGGAAGCTCCGCAGTTTGCTCCGCAGTTTGCTCCGCAACTGCTTGGAGGCCCACAACAGCCACAGCTGGAACAACCACTATTGCAGCCGGCGCAGCTGCCACAGCCACCGCAGCAGCCGCAACCACGGCAGCCATGACAGCTGCCACAGCCGCTGCAGCCACCACAGCCACCACAGCTGCCACAGCCGCTGCAGCCACCACAGCCACAGCCAGTGCAACCACCACTGCCACAGCCAATGCAGCCACCACAGCCAGCACAGCCACCACCAATACAGCCGGCGCAACCACAGCCCTTGCAACTGTTGTCGTCGTCAAAGCTGCCGATAGGCTTCATTGCCTTCCTAGGCTTCACAGAAAGCATGATGAGCACTTTTGGATGAGAAGGTGGGCGTGAGGCACCAATGGCAAGACAAAAGCCGCAAAAACAGGAACGTACGACGAAAAAGGCGAGGCAACCACTTAAAGGGAAAAACACTTTAAAGGCAAGCCCGCTGAAGAAGCAAACGAAACAAACTGTACCACACACACACACACGCTCACACAAACAAACACGCCATGCCATGACAGGCCTTCGGGCGAATTGTGCCAGGCAGCATGGTGCTGGGAGCCCCAAAGCCATCAGCTGCACCAATCGGGCCAGCCCGGCTCGCTGGGCCGCAACCGAAGGTGCCTCGAAAGGACAAGGCACGGGATGGCGAAACTAGAGCTATTCGCTTTTGGCTTTCCTTGCAAGACCCAACAGGAGGCCCCCTGTTTGACACAGTACCGCACGTAGGCGGCTCTTCACAGTCTGCGTTGCCTCTTCACATGCGGGCGCGCAGTTTGAAGTTGGATTACACATGCTGGTGCCCAAACAAGCTCTTGCCTGGAAAAGGCATTGCTTGTCAAGCTGCTGCTGCAAGCGCCGCCAAAGGATTCATCAAACGGCCTGCAGTGCACTGCAGTGCACTGCAGTGGTAGCTGCACACACTTAAATGCAACCACCTGTCACGGCACATGTCAATCATGCTATGGTGTCATGAGGGATGGAGGTGGTCATGAATCCGGCATCTTACACTCTTTACAGGATGAGTAAAATGGATTGTGCAATCGGTGCTTGCCGCACCCATTTATGGTTGGAACTGTTTCGAAAGCTTCACTTGCTCCCCTGCAAAAGTTAAAACAAAAAAAAAAAAAAAACTACAACCCAAGCAACGAATTTGCTTGCAGGTTCTACTTCATGGTGACGCCCAGTTTTGGGTTACGTGTTCATTTGTGGGGGAGTACCCAGGCTTTGACCCTGGCGATTGACAACCCACCGCACCTAGGTCCGGGTCCAGCTTTCGGCCTGCACCCCTCGGCGCAGGCAGAGGGACGAAAGAGCAATGCTGAGATGCAGCCCTGCCTCTGGCTGATTGGCGTCCATGCCTGCCATGACAGCATCAAGCAAACATGTGAGTATGGTTCTCATGCTTGTCATGTATGTATGTATGTATGTACGTACGTAGGTATGCATGCATGCATGCATGCATGCATGCATGCATGCATGCATGCATGCATGTCTGTCTGTATGCATGCATGCATGCATGCGTGCATGTGTGTATGTGTGTGTGTGTGTTTACTGTATGCGTTTACTTTCTGTATGTATGCATGTATGTATGTACGTAGGTATGCATGCATGCAGGTATGTCTGTCTGCCTGTCTGCCTGCCTGCATGCATGCATGCATGTATGTGTGTATGTGTGTATGTAATTACTGTATGTACTTACTTTATGTATGTTATGTATGTATGTATGTATGTATGTATGTATGTATGTATGTATGTATGTATGTAGGTATGTATGTATGTATGTATGTATGTATGTATGTATGTATGTATGTATGTATGTATGTATGTATGTATGTATGTATGTATGTATGTATGTATGTATGTATGTATGTATGTATGTATGTATGTATGTATGTATGTATGTATGTATGTATGTATGTATGTATGTATGTATGTATGTATGTGTATGTATGTATGTATGTATGTATGTATGTATGTATGTATGTATGTATGTATGTATGTATGTATGTATGTATGTATGTATGTATGTATGTATGTATGTATGTATGTATGTATGTATGTATGTATGTATGTATGTATGTTATGTTATGTTATGTTATGTTATGTTATGTTATGTTATGTTATGTTATGTTATGTTATGTTATGTTATGTTATGTTATGTTATGTTATGTTATGTTATGTTATGTTATGTTATGTTATGTTATGTTATGTTATGTATGTATGTATGTATGTATGGATGTATGTATGTATGTAAGTATGTATGTATGTATGTATGTGTTTACTGTATGTGATTACTGTATGTGCTTACTGTATGTGTTTACGTAGGTACTTACTGTATGTATGTATGTATGTATGTATGTGTGTGTGTGTTTGCTGTATGTATTAACTGTATGTATGTATGCATGCACGTATGTAAGTATGTATGTACGTATGCATGCATGTATGTATCTATGTGTGTATGTGTGTATGTGTGTATGTATGTATGTACGTACGTACGTCCGTACGTATGTATGTGTATGTGTGTATGTAGGTATGTAGGTATGCAGGTATGTAGGTATGTAGGTTTGTAGGTATGTAGGTATGTAGGTATGTAGGTATGTAGGTATGTCGGTATGTAGGTATGTAGGTATGTAGGTATGTAGGTATGTAGGTATGTAGGTATGTAGGTATGTAGGTAGGTATGTATGTGTGTATGTATGTATGTATGTATGTACGTACGTACGTACGTATGTATGATGTCTATTTATGTATGTATGTATGTATGTATGTATGCATGCATGTATGTATGTATGTATGTATGTATGTATGTGTGTATGTATGTATGTATGTATGTATGTATGTATGTATGTATGTATGTATGTATGTATGTATGTATGTATGTATGTATGTATGTATGTATGTATGTATGTGTGTGTGCATGCATGCATGCATGCATGCATGTATGTAGGTATGTAGGTATGTAGGTATGTAGGTATGTAGGTATGCAGGTATGTAGGTATGTAGGTATGTAGGTATGTAGGTATGTAGGTATGTAGGTATGCATGCATGCATGCATGCATGCATGCATGCATGCATGCATGTATGTATGTATGCATGTGTGTGTGTGTCTGTATGTATATATGTATGTATGTATGCATGTATGTATGTATAATGTATGTACACATATGTAGGTGGCCTGGCCTGAGCTCATCTGATGTGATGTCATGTGAATTGTGTTGTCAAGACTTTTTCTTAGACATCTCTCTCTCAATAGAAACCTTCGGGAAACCTGTAGACATACTCCTAAAAATCCATTCCAACCGTACCCACAAAACTCTGTCAGCATGGCAACGGCATCTTTGAGGAATAGAGCTTTCATGTCGAACGCACTGGTAGTGTTGCAGGGATTCCCCCAAGTGATACACATGTTGTACACAAAAAGCACATTGGTAACGTTACCAAGGTCAGATTCAACTACAAAACTCTTGCATCCCACATGTTGGATCCCTTGCTACTGCAAAAGAAACCTCCAGTTTAGAAACGTTTGCAGGACAGGCCTTAGCTTGTGCAGCACTTTCTAGAAAACACTTTCTGGCAAACGCTTGCCCTCACGGCTTTCATGAAACAAACATCCGGCCCTCGGGGTCACAAGGAATATTCACCATGGCTCATATGGGTGTCACTTTTGGTTGAGGGCGCCAATTTCGGGTTCCCCTCCAACCAGGCCTGGCAGGCCTAGCTCGGCATCTGCAGATCCCTGGCCTTGAAGAAAACCAACTAAAACCCATCCAAGAGGTACCCTCAGAAGACTCTGCCACATCAAGCCTCACAAATTGGTATCGGCCAAGAGGCGTGGTGGCACTGGAGGCTCGGATCCTGTGCACAAATGGGATCAACTTGGCCGTCAATGTCGTCGGTTCAATGAAAATGACGCAAAAAGGAACTTCGAAATGATCCCAAATGCTACCCTGTTGTTTCTGGATTCCTGTTCTTTTTTGGGATAACCCAAAAATGGAACCCTGGGTTCGACCACCGGTTGGCTAGTCCTTCTCGCAGTCGCTTCAATGGAGGTCCTTCCGCCAGAGCCAAGCAATTTAAGCCATGGACAATTCAAACCTTCTGAAACTCCCTGGTCTGCTTTACTAAACAGTTGCCAAACCCTTGTACAAGCCATGGTTTAGGCCGCAACTGTTGAACCATCCTCTTCGTGTCCCTTTAAGGAGGATTGGTTGTTACACGTTGCCACCAACCCTGCCTTCCGTCGCTCTGGACGTTGAAGCATGCTCCAAGGCCTCGATCTGCCTCAAGCCGAGTCACTCTACATCTGTGTGTGGGTGTGTCATCTTGGGAGTTCAGTATTTGTACTCAAATCGTGGCGTTCCTTCTTGCTTCCAAAATGAAAAGGGTGCCCTCAAAGCGCATACCCATCTGGCGCATGGAGAGCGCTGGTTGCAGAGCACTGCCAAAGAGCTGATGACCATCCCTGTCAAAATTAGGATGCCAAGAGAATAAGTGCTTGAAATCTGCCACTTGGATTTCGACATCGCCACACGGCAAATCGTGGCCATGGCATCTGCTCTAAAAGGGTTTTAGTGGCTCCAACCGGTTCAACCAGGGCGCTGCTGCAGGTTGGCCCCGATGTCCAGCAGCTTGCCCTTGGTGCACTTGGAGGACTCCATCAAAGCCTCGATGTCGGCCTGGCTGGGAGAAAAGCGCGTGGCAGCGCTTCGACCGAGAAGTGCACCAGGGTTTTGACGAAACAAACGTCCGCCACGGCTTGACAAATACAAGGTGCACCAAGGTTTGACTAACACAAAGCACAAGGCTTCGACCCTCAAAAGGCTCACCAGGTCTTTGATGAAACAAAAGTGCGCCAACCTGAAAGGTGCAGCCAACCGTCCACGCGAGCGCCTCGGCCATTTCTTCGCCTCGCTACCCGCTACATAAGCGCCAGCTCGGGGCGGCCGCCAAACCAATTGCTTCAGCGCGGCTTATATCTGCGTATGCAGTGAATGTGAACAAGGGGCTGCTTGCGCTGTAACTCTGCTGATTGGGCGTGGGAGAGTTGCAGCTGGTGATAGTTGCGATATTGTAGTTTGCTGATGACTTTCCGCAAGTGCAATCCTGCAAAGATCAAACCATTGTTGCTGCTGGGTAGCTTCCACGTGTACAGGCTTCGAAGCCACAATCTTGCTATGACGTACTGCCTGGTCGTCCATGTGCGTTTTCTGTTCTTGAGGTAGCATTCATGCATGGCGGCGCGGGTCTGATTGTTTTTCGGCTTGAGTCTCTGTGACTTGATACTTGGCCTAGGAATCTGAGAGTGTACGCAACTTCACACATGCTCGGCACCAAAAGAACACAGGCTGACACACTGTCAATCCCAAGTGAGCAAGTGCTTGACCACATTACAAATGGGTTTACCTCAAAATGTCCCTTTCAGATAAACCAAACAACCGAGGTTCCCCAAAAGAGGGCATACCCAACAAAGCCCGAGCATTCCGGCCATCAACGCAGGAACCGCCGTCGTCGCCACTGCCATCAAATCCATGACGGAAGAAGTCCTGCAAATGGGAGACTCCGTGGCCGAGCACCTCTCACATGCAGAGACCGCTGTTAAAAACGTGCGTCCGCCTGGACCCAAACATCGAGTCACGACAACCTGGTCCCAAGGAGGTCTACCCGGCAACCAAATCATGTCTGAATCGGCCTCTCACCGCCACGTGTTTGCTTAGCTTTGGCTGGCCCCCTGCGAAACTTCATCTGCCCTGGCTTTCATTCGTGGTATCTCCCTGTTCCATCATGCCGAGAGCGGCGTCTCAATAGCATCCTGTTTGTTTCCTCTGAAAGGCACCGAGGTCATTGAACCCACATCGGCCCAACCCTATCACACCGCCCTTTTGTGCCTGCATGATGGCCATGCGCACTACCTCAAGCAGTCGAATGGAATGCGGGTCTGATTGAAGGGAAACTTCAAGCAAAACCGAAGCCAATTTGGGGGCTCCAAATCCTCATTTTGAAACCCGTCACATACCCATGTCTGCCTCCACGCCCCGGAACTCGGTGTCTATGTAGGTCTTGATGGCGTGAGAGGAGTTGTACACCTCCGAATTTGATGAGGCAAGGCACTACATGGGAGTAGCCCAAGGAACATGTTGCTGTCAGGCCTCTGGTAGCTTGTCCAGTGTCTGAACTAAAGGCCCAAGTATTCGTGGAACTTGGGTATACCTGGAGGTGGAAAGGGCATGAAACAGTCACAAATGCAAGGCCTGGGGAACACATCGGTCGAGGAAACTGCTTTTGTTGGATGCTTTGAAAGGAAAACGAAAAGGAAACCCATCACCTGAAGGGGATCGGTATTAGCTGAAAGGGTGGCCTCATTTTTGACACCAGGTGATGACACATCCGCATGCAGCTCACTTGTCAATGAAGACCAAGGCATTGGGCACGTCTCTGTCCTGCAACGCATGTACTTTTCCGTGACAGGCAGCTGATTGCAATGTTGGAATGTGGCAAAGCCCGAAGTCCCTCCAATTTGCTTGGTTTTCTGAACCACCAAGCATGGTTTGCCTGGTGGAAACGGACTCTAAAATAAGGAGGGCCCTAGGCCCCTGAACATTCGCAGATCAATTGAAACCCGTCCCCCAGGTGCACCACGGAGAGGCCAACCCAGTTGCCCACCTCATTCTGCACCTGACCCCAAAGACATCCGCAAAGGAATGGTTCAAACGTTTAGAGACGTCCTTGTCTCTGCTACGGGTGGCTTGATCACAAGGCCAGCCTTGTGAAGGATTTGATGCATGACCCGCGAGACACGCGGCGCACTCCTTGGCAAGCAGCAGCACATTGACAATGAGCTGCCCCAAGACGACTTGGTTCCCAACTGAACACGGTTCAGACCTTGTCCAGTATCGCACAAGCGGTACCTGGCAAATGAAGCTCAAAAACAGGACTTGCAGCTGGCATGAACACCATGGAATCAACCTTGCGTAGCCTTGCTTGTCAACCACAGCCCTTCCGACTTTTTGGACTGGTCACGTGGAACTTGCATCCAGCAGGTCCTCCTCTGTCATTTGCCACAGCTCAAACCTTCGCAGCACGCCAGGGGAAACACGAGGCGCGGGCGCGCGCTCAGGCAGGAGCATTCTGCCCATGATCTCGCGCCACAGCAGCAAGCTCTGCAAGACAAACGTGTACCTCACTGCGCCGCACCGCACTTCAAGTTGCGTTTCCTGGGATTTCGCACATGGCTGGAGGACATCCCACTGGCTGACATGTTGCAAGAGGACTTTACATTCAGCAGGTGTAAATGTCCTCCCGTACCACATGTTTGGCAAATCTGCTCTCCTTCATCCTTCATGCTGTGGCCCTGAATCCCGCAGGGGACCCAAGCAAAAACCATGCTGCATGCCTAAAGCAAGGCGAATTCAACTTTCTCCGGCTGCCAGCTGGTCCAGGGTTCCGACTGTGTGCGGTGGCTGTGTGACAAGCACGAGCCACCTCGACCTCTAGAGATCTCAAGACCTGAGGCAGTCGTGGCGCCGGCAAGCACTTGCCGCGCCAAGCAATTTCGGCCAAGCCACTCCAGTCGCCCTCCTTTGAAGGGCTGAAATATGCCTTCAAGTACCTGGGCTCGGATATCTCCATCAATCAGTCGAGCGCCCAACACGCGGTCGTCTATTGTAAACTTAAGGTGGCAAAGGCTTTGAGATCTTGAAAACTGCGGTGGATACTTGGCTTCACCCTGGCGCTGAAGTGTTTACGTTTGATTCTGATGCTGCCCTTCTCCCAAAATAACATCTTGCACCAGCTGACATGATTGAGGCAAGCACAATGAGTGGATGGAAGTTTGGCATGTAAAACCATCATCTGATTGCAGATGATGTGTCAATTTAATAGGGATTGCAGGGCACAACGGCCAAGAGCGAAACGGGCAACAGATCTGAAGGCAGGTGCCATGATCTTACAAGGTGCTTCCGGCTGTACCGTTTCCGGGGATTTCGCGCTCTCATCCAAGTGAAGCTGCGGCGCTTCACAACACATCTTGTCATGGCACGCCAAAGGACGTGTCGCGAAGGGATCCTGAGTTGGTGAAGGCTTTGACCTAACATATTCAAACCCGCATGCTCCGTGACCCTTCGTAGCCTTGGCACTCTTCTCCAGAGCATTTCTTTGGCATGCGCAGCTATGTGTGCGCTGTACTGCAAGACATTCATTTGGGCCCCGAAAGATGTTGGTAGCTTGGAGCTGCAACCGGGATGTTCATATCCTTTTGTAGCATGAGTCCATCATCAAACCATTCCGCCCATCCACCCATCTAGCCACGATCCATGATACGGGGCTCGCGTGAGCGTCTACCCTGTTGGTAAGTTTCAGCAATGACATTGCTGTTTGACCAGGTGACTAAAACTCTAAACCTAAGGGACCTATGGACATCGCCGCAAACAAGCCACTGTCCTTGCACTCTGCCAATCCCAAGCCGAGGTGCTCAATCATGCGCTCCACCGGCTCTCTGTTGAACCTCTGCCAAAGAGGCTAAAAAGGCTAAAAAGCTACCTTTGTCCCCCGTTTGTGACTCTAAAAGATTGGAGCCTTGGACTTGAGAAGCCAAGAGGACTGTAAACGTTTTCAGGGTCTGGGATGCACCCATTTCACGCGCGCCTCAAGAAGGCGAAGAAGTCGCTGATCGAGGCGACGACGGTCTCAATCCGCTCCTGCGGATCTGCTTGTTTCGCTGTTTGGGTTGGATGTAAAAGGTCCTCTGTCAGGAGCCCTTCCAGTTCAGGCCTGAAAATGCAGGACCCTGGCGACTGGGCCGCGTTTCCCTTCATCCGGCGCGTTTGGGGCTGGCCCACTTTCCAGCCAAAGTGAATGCCGCGCCATAAACAAAAGCTGCCATTGGTGGCTAGAACCCATGGTTGTGGAAAATCATTTCTCCGATGTCAACATGTATCATTCCCATGACTACTTGATCACTATGTCAACCCAATGCATATTTTCCACAACCATAACTTCATCCACTCGGGCTCTGTGAGGCCGCCACCGCTTGGAGCCGCCACGCAAAGCCTCCCCAAGATCACCGGCAGCCTCGAGGGATCTCAGATTTTGCCCTGGCTCTGGCCCAAAATTGGCCAAGCAGCCCCAAACCCCAGTTGGCAAACTAGACATGGGTGAGAGAGGTGAAATGTATCAACAAGTTCCATTTATGCGCCAAAGTGAATGTCGTCACAGTCCCATTCCCCCGTTTGCCACTTTGAAGCCTTCGGTGGCGGTACGCCCTCTGGTGGCTTCTCTGAGTACCTGGATCGTGGGAGTGGGTCTCCTCTTCCCTCTTGAAAAGGTCTCCGCCCATCTGAAGGGCTCACTTTCGCTTCAGCTCAACCAGCGCTTCTGCCTTGTCCTTGCTTTCCTGGGAGACCTGCAACGAGCTTAATGAGTCGACTGGAGACAGTTTCTGCCACTCACATGACCCTTGTTGGTTTTTGAATCAACACATGTGGTTTATGCTTCATCATGGCGCGTGCAAGAAGCCTCTGCTCGAGACTTGCCCTCCGTGTAGATCTCTTTGGTTGCTATCGTCAACAGTGGGTCCTGGACGCCATGAGCCAATCCACAAAGGTGGCACATACAATGGCAACTATCGAATGGAACACACATGGTGTGTCCCCCAAATTGCGGCCCTCCACTGATTTGATCCCTTTTGGTCTCCAAACCATAGCGAGGCGTTCTAAACCCATTTTGGGGACACCCAAATGGGTCTGTAGACCCCCGATTAGGAGGTTGATGGCCTTCCCGTACCAACCCAAAGTAGTAAAGGAACCGGCCCTTTGACCATGGCACGAAAACAAAATGGTTGCTTTCCCTGTAGATTCCCTTTAACACAATCAAGAACAACGTAAACACAAAAAAGACACTGACACGTGAGCCACGGTCAAATTTACTTGTTCCCCCTAAAAGGACATGGACATTTCATGATTCCCCTGGTTTTTGTGGGGAAATTGAACCCAAATGCACCATAGACAAATCGGGAAATGTTGACCATTCGTCATATGCAAAACTGCCTCACTCGGCACGCTCCCCGCAGTTGTCCTTTGGGTGTCCCTTTAAACCCACCTGGCAATGGGTACCAACACACGGCCATGGGTCAAAATCCTGTACCCCCAGTCAACATCCCAATCCCCACTGAAACAGGTTCAAAAATGGGTGGTGAATTCACCTACCCCAAAATGGTACCACTGGTTTTGACCCATGGCCGCTTGACAATGGGTACCAACACGCACACCCATATCCAATGGAGGATGGCTCGCGGCTCCTGCAGCATGGCCAAGGCCTTGGCGTTGCCCTTCACCAAGCTCCACACCGTCTTCACCGGGCCCACGCCTCACGGAGCGAGAGTCGGGCGGTGGGAAGCCCAGTGGAGTTGGCACCGTGGAGTTGGTACCAAAAAGGAAACCAACGCCCAATTTGCGGCGTCCGTATTCTATTTTTGCAAACAAACCCACATGCAAGTAGCAAGTAGCAAGTTGGAGCAAATCGGTCCTTCCCTATGGGCAGGCCAAGGCAATGGCAATCAAAGTCCAATTGCCGCGCCACTTCGCCCTGGCTGAAGAGCCATGTGCCCGCAAAATAAAAGCAGAACCCCGCCTTGACACTGTCCTGAAGCAAGTGGATCAGCCTGAGCCAGTGCTTGAACTCATTGAACTCATGATTTCATGTCCGCTCCAGCTCAAGGGCCCCGCTTTCCGTAGCTGCCCCTAAGCTTGTCCGGATTCAGGATTTTGTACCTCCGTTTGCCACGCCAAAACTCGCCACTGCAGCACTCTCGCTCAATGCTGGCCTTCTGCCGATCTCGAAAACCATGCGGAAGAAGTAGTGGTTTTCAGCTGCCATCAGATGTGAGCCAGGGTCACTGTGTTGTGTTCCCGAGTGACATGAGATGTTGGTGAGTACCTATGTTTCCGAATGGCAATTGGGTGAGTGTACTCAATGTCATTCCCTGCACTAGATGACGGCAAATATTGACCATTCCCGTGCCAAACACGCGCGCACATGAGCCGGTTTTTGCTTGCCGGGGTCATGTCAGACAAGGGAGTCCTTCCAAACCTGCCGGCAGCACCGAAACTTCGCTCCATGAGCGGCCGGCGAGCAACGTCAAAGTTGTTGGCAACCACCAGACCAGCCAAAATGGCACAAGCCTGGCACGGGCAAGAATTGCGTCCATTTGAACCACTGCTGAAAAAACACAAAAACACAGAAGCATGACAATTAATACTATCTAACAAAAACCACTGAATCCTGGACATTCAGCAGCCTGGCGCTAAAAGAAACAAATCACAAAGCTTCACCCTGCCTGCTGGATTTGGAGGGCCATACGTCTGGCCTTGCTGCCTGAATGGTACACATCAACTTGATCTGTGTACCTGGCAGTCGTCGATGGTGGTACTGCATGCAAATCTGCCCATGGTGCAAAGGGCTCGCATTTGTTCGGCTGCCACAGCATACCACATGCTGAAACCGGACTGCTGACTCCCATCCATCCGGGTGGCAGTCAGAGTCTACCCCGCTCATTCGAGCATGTCCCCACAGAAGCGCGGCTCAATTCTTCACTGCGATGCTTTGAAAGCTTTGACTCAGCTTTGTGAACAGGTTGTGCATCAGCCACGCTCCCTCAGAGATCCCCGCCCACCCCAGACCTCTATCCACATGGCACAGAATGGCCCCATGCTGTACAGTGCAAGGGCTCAAACGGGCATCGGCACGGGCCAAAAGATCATAACACGGGCTCCAGTATCACGAAATGTCTCACTGCCTATGCCCAGCCCTCAGCTTTTCGCAGCCGAAGTTCTCAGCTTTTGCCGTTCCTCTCAGTGGGAAACATGAGTAGCCGCCGCTTTTTGGGTTACCGGTCTATCAAACACATATTACCAATATTACCCTGAAACCGAAAGGTCTCTGGGTATGTCTTTTGGTCCAAGACACCCTGTTGTGGTTGCTGAAAAAAAAGGAACACTGCCATAGAAATATATATATATATATATGTATTGATTTATTCGTTTATTCGGTTGTTCATTTATTTGTTACTTGCATTTTTATTTATGTATGTATGTGTTTATGTATTTTATGCGATTTATCTCGGGGTTGGGGGGCCCGCTATCTTCTCAAATCCATTTGAATGCTCAAAAGACGGGAACACTCCCTGTCCTTGAGGCGAGCCAAGAGCTCAGTGCCTCAGGATCATGCAGCGCAGGTCTGCAGGTCTGCAGGTCTCGTCCCAAGGCCCAAGCTGCTCTCTTCCGTCTTCGGCTTTTTGGCCGGCGGCTCCTCTGTCTCAAGTTGAAACAAAACAGTATTCAAGGGATTGCAACAGTTGGCATTTTGCAGGCAAAGGCCACCTTTTGCACTGACGATCGAGCTGTCTCTCTGACTCGTCGCTTCCAGGGGCTCTCTGGAGGTACGAGCAATTCTGTGCAAGTGCCCACCTCAACCCGGCCATCTGGCTCGGCATGCACGACGATACACCCCCTCCCCCTCCCCCCTTCGGCGTTCTGCTGCGTTGCGGTCAATGCATCATGGCCTGGGGCAGTTCTTGACACGTACTGGTTCTGTTGGGTTGTGGATGATACAAGTAAGGTCCGGCAGAGCCGGGGGGCGGAAGTTTCAAAGCAGTGAACAACTATAGTTTGGAGAACTGTCCTTGGCCCCTTGCTTCTCTCTCTCTCTCTCTCTTTTTCTCTCTTTCTCTCTTTCTCTCTTTCTCTCTTTCTCTTTCTCTTTCTCTTTCTCTTTCTGTTTCTCTGTCTCTTTCTCTCTCTCTCTCTCTCTCTCTCTCTCTCTCTCTCTCTCTCTCTCTCTCTCTCTCTCTCTCTCTCTCTCTCTCTCTCTCTCTCTCTCTCTCTCTCTCTCTCTCTTTCCTCTTTCCAAAGCTCCCAACGAGCGCTTCAAGTTCAACTCTCCTCCCTCCCCCCCGAGAGCGCCTTTTCTTTGCGTCTGCCCAAGCCGTGCTGTAGTCTGGGCTGGAGCACGCGGCCCGAAACGGCACGCGTGTCAAGCGCAAAAGCTAGGCTTTTCTCTTCGTCTGCTTCAGCGGTGCAGCAGTCCGCGCGAGCGCGCGGCCCGACGCGGCACGCGCCGACACGAACGCGCGGCCCGAAACGGCACGCGCGTCATCAAGCACGAAAGCTGGGCGAGGTCAAAGCCTCTTTTACTCTGGCAACCTTAGTCAACGGAGTCATTGCCATGGCGTCTTCCTGAAGACGCTTGATCTCAAGGCTGGGCTGGGAGTCCAAGGAAAGCTGCCACGCCCGACGGCGGGCAAACGGCTCGATATCTCCGTCCGCAGCCGGAAACTGGAAGATCACCTGCCAGTGACGCAAGGAAGGCTCGCCGTCCGTGTCGAACAGAACATGAGGCTTTGCAACCACCCGCAACAGCGTGTCAGGCCGCTGTCGCGCGATGGCCAAGCTGTCTCTGACGCTGACCACCCACATGAGGTCCGCGCGGATATCTGGCTGCGTGGCGTCTGCGCACTCGAAGATGATTCGCACTCCGCGCTCGGCTTCGTTGCACTCCTGCACAGGATCTTTGGCCGTCACTCGCAGTAAGAGCTCCGCGTACTGGACTGGCAGATCCTCACCTGCCGTAATTTGCCCTGCGTCATCCAAGTTCGCGTCTGACAAGTAGATGCATGGGCAGCCCGGGAGTGAGGCGGCCGCGCGCAAGCACAGGAGTGGCTTTGCTGAGCCCGAGTAGGTAAGCGGAGCCTCGCGAACATGCACCACTTGCAAGGTGTTGCGCGCGGCGCGAGAGCCAGTCGGTCCAGAGTACGCTTCGTCGTGCGCCACGACGAAGCGCACAGCCCGCTTGCGGGCTCGGATCTCGTGCTCCGCATTCTCTCGCGACTGTACCGCGTCGCCCGGCCGAAACGCCAAGGCAGCACGCAGCACTTCGTCGACGCACTTGGTAAAGATCCTCGCGTCCAGCGTGGCCGTGTGATCCCACACAGTAGCCTCCAGGCTGTAGCACGGCCGGACGCCAGCTTCGTCGTGTTTGTCGCAAGTCTTGCGAAAGCAAGTGGCGCAGCCTGTGTAGTGCCAAGAGTCTTCCGGCACCCGGGACAAGGTCTGCAGGTGAGCCAGCGTGCAGAACGGTGCCTCCCACACGTCCTCGTGAGAGAACTTCTTCGCTTCGGCCGCCGGCAAAAAAGCGCCGAGCGTCGCCAGCGAGACCAAAGTCGCCGGTCCGGCGCCGTAGTCTCGCGCGGCAGCGCCGCCAGCGCGCAGGGATAGTGTCTTGCAGCGCTCGCGGCCAGCAAAACAAACATTCTCGGCTTTTCACTCGCGTTTCTTACTCCATGGCCAGCGCTTGGTCGCTGCGCGCGCGCGCGGCCCGAAACGGCACGGCGGCACATGGCGTGTCCAAGTAGCACGCTCGCTGCGCAAGGCTCAAGACAGCACGCCCGCTCGTGTCCGCCACAAGCGGCCCGAAACGGCACGCTAGCTCGGCAAGCGCAGGTCTGGGGTGCCTGGCTTGCAAATAAGCAAAAAGGTTATCTTTGGAACCTCAACCAGGCAGAGGTGGGGCGCACCAACGGAAGTGCCCAGCAAAAGTTCTTGGGGCGCCGCAGCTTCTGTTCGCTTTCAAAATGTGACGGCGCCAGAAATCTCAAAGGTTAACTTGCTAGGCTCGAGTTTGGTTCTGTTAGCCAATGTCTTCGCTGATATATAGCTCCAATAGTTCCAAATCGCTAAGCACCCCCGCAGTTTTTTTTCCCCGTCGATCAGGAGCTTTTGCTTCTCTTATCCCAGCGCGCGGCCCGAGACGGCACGCCCGCGGCACGACAGTTTTTCTCCGGCTGACTCTACGCACTCTGCCCACTTAGCTTTATACCACGTAGTTTTTTTCCCCGCCGATCGGGAACTTTTGCTTTTCCCATCCTAGCGCGCGGCCCGAAGCGGCACGCCCGCTGCCCGCGGCCCGAAGCGGCACGCTAGGTCGGCTTCGCGCTCTGGCGCGCGGCTCGAAACAGCACGCTCGCAGCGTGGTCTTTTTTCTCCGGCTGGCCCCACGCCCTCCGCCTACTTGAGCTTACGCCCCTCAGCTTTGTCCCCGCCGGACGGGAGCTTTTGCTGTTCTTATCCTAGCGCGCGGCCCAAGACGGCACGCCCGCGGCACGACAGCTTTTCTCCGGCTGACTCTACGCACTCTGCCCACTTAGCTTTATACCACGCAATTATATTTTTTGCCCGCACATCGGGAGATTTTGTCTTGCTTATCCTAGCGCGCGGCCCGAAGCGGCACGCCCGCTGCCCGCGGCCCGAAACGGCACGCTGGCTCGGCTTCGCGCTCTGGCGCGCGGCCCGACACGGCACGCTCGCAGCGCGATAGCTTTTCCCCGGCAGGCCCCAGGCGCTCTGCCCACCCGAGTTTATGCCCAGCATTTTTTATCCCAGCCGGACGGGAACTTTTGCTTTGCTTATCCTAGCGCGCGGCCCAAGACGGCACGCCCGCAGCATGATAGTTTTTCTCCGGCCGACCCTACGCACTCTGCCCACTTAACTTTATGCCCCGCAGGTTTTTTCCCCGCCGATCGGGAACTTTTTTGTTTGTCTTATCCTACCGCGCGGTCCGAAACGGCACGCCCGCTGCCCGCGGCCCGAAACGGCACGCTCGCAGCGCGGTAGTTTTTCCCCGGCTGGCCCTACGCGCTCCGCCTACTTAAGTGTGTGCCCAGCAATTTTACCCCCGCCGCACGGGAGCTTTTTTTTCTTATCCTCGTGCGCGGCCGGACATGGCGCGCCCTCCTACCGCGCGGCCCGAAACGGCTCGCTAGCTCGGCTCCGCGCTCTCGCGCGCGGCCCGAAACGGCACGCCCGCAGCACGATACTTTTTCTCCGGCAGGCCCCCCCCCCCCCGCCGGACGGGAACTCTTGTGTATCTCATCCTACCGCGCGGCCCGAAATGGCACGCCCGCTGCTCGCGGCCCGACACAGCATGCCCGCTCAGCTTCGCGCTCTTGCGTGCAGCCCGAAACGGCACGCTCGCTGCGCGCGGTCTTGCCCGCTGGACTTTATTTATACCCTATATGTTTGTCTTCATGCTGCTTGGATACTTCAATGCAAACAGCTGCAGACGTCAATGCAAAAAGCTGCAGAAGCGAAACGGCGAAAACTCCCCCCAACATCTCCAAATCACAAGGCCCTCTGAAACATGCACAACAACTGGCCACCTACTTCAATGGGATCACTAGCATCAGAAATCAACCAATTGGTGCGTTTTCTTGTCCCGCAGAGAACGTCGCACGAACACGTTGAGACACTGATGAAAGCAACATAGCCAGATTCGACAAAGCAGTGATAACTCCCCCCAAAATCGCCGAAACAGGGCCCTCTGAAACATGTACAACAACTGGCCTTGCAAGAAAAAAACAGAGGTCACAGCAACAACCTAGCTGCGATCTAGAGGAAATAACAACGGTCCCCCTGCCCTTGCTGCCTCAGCCTTACTGAGTCATTCTCGCGCGTGCGCTCCCGTCGTCCCTGCCAGTCGCGTTCCCCCCTCGGTCGTTTTCACAGACTCGCGCGGCGTCTGCCCTGTTGTTGCAGCGGCCATTACGAATCGAAACGAAGAGAAACAAACAAAAGGACCTGACACGCCGGTCGGCCGCGCGGCACCGGCGCCCGCCCACAGCCCTCACCGGTGCGCGCGCCTGCCGCCGCTACGAAAAGGGGACCACGCTAACCACGACAAACATGCGTAATGACCGCGGCAACAACAGGGCTGCTTTGTCAAGGTAAAGGCCGCGCGCCGCTCGAAACCGCAAGCGCAGCGGCCAGCAGTGCTGGCTACACAAAAGGATGCCCAAGGAGGGTGCAGCTTGCTCAAAGGAGACCACATAAGCAATCCCCTGTGTTGCGCAGCTTTGCGCCATGTCACGCGCGGCAACAAGGCTGCTTTGTCGAGGTGAAGGTCGCGCGCTGCTCGAAACAGCAAGCGCAGCGGCCGCTGTCTGCGCGCGCTCCTATGGCTTGCAGCCTGCCGAAAGATGCGCAAGTAAGCCACCTATGGCCTGCAGCGGCCCCTTACTCGTAGTCGCAGTCGGAACACTGCTCCTCTAAAAACTTTTCTCCGAAGAACTCCGGCTCGGAGTCCGGTAGCTCATCAGGCATGGACAAGTCCCCGTACTTTTGCACGAGGTCTTCTTCATCCTCGTAGGCCTGGCGGCCTTCTTCCGGGTCTGCCGTGTACTCGGCCGCGGACATTGCCCGCATGGTCTTGCGGCGCTTGCGGCCGCCGCCAAGCTTCGAGGCGGGAAGCTTTGTCGG